CTTTTAATGCGAAATCATTTTTATGTGGAAATAGCGCGGCGGAGAGGCGGCGCGCGGCATCCCGAAACGCAAGAGTATCGAGCAGGCGAAGGACGGCGCGCGTTTTTCCATATTCGCACGCGCAATCCCATCACCACCCACCGACGCACACTATCGAAGCGCGACTAAGCCAAACGTTACGCACGTTCACCACCACACGCGTTAAAAACATTTAAAAATCGCGAGCGCACGTTGAAATAAAAACAGAAACAACAAAAAACGAGAGCGATTTCGATTTCATTATTGCAAAATGAAAACGAAATGAAAATTCCTTTGTTATCGGTTTTTATCTTGTGGTACGGCGCTGAAAAATTGAAAAACGCGCGAAAGTGAAACGCGGAAAACCGGAATGCGCCTGTCCCCGCCGCCTCAGCTACGAATTACAAACGCTCACGTCGTTTTGTACCTGTCCGCCTGCCTTTCCTGCCTCGCGCCGGAAAGCGAATTGATAAATACATAATGAGAAATATGACAAACAAAAGCGAAATGCCAAAATGCGAGATGTTATTCTTCGACTTCTGGTTTCCTTCTTTTGCCCGCGTGGACATTTATTATTTACGTTCGGCTTCGAAGTCTTCGGTCGCATTATCCTGATGGCGCTGTCTGTCTTTTTTAACCCCTCGGTTTACCGTCGTTTTTGCTTTTACTTTACATCATCTATTTGCTTACGTTACGCCATGTTGCGAAGAACGGTTCATCAGCACTTCATATTTCTGTATCTAGACATTGCGCGCTGGCAGGTCAGAAATAATCGCTAATAACGGTGCAGGTTCCACCCGAGAAGTATGTCTAGAAAGTTGAACTCGACAAAGAAACCCATCCCATCGTTCTTCTTCCTTTGGAGGATCGCCGCACAAACGTCCGCATCTCATCGCATCGCGATTGCAATAACGGTACAGAATGAGGCTGCATTTGACCTCAAGCTCATGCCACCAAAAAATATGCACGCAGTCGAGATCATGGTTATCAGGACCAGGCGTCAATTCTTTTATTGCGCTTTTTTCGATCTGCCCGCGACTGGAGGTAATTTTTATTAATGATCACCGCGTGTTGCATACAGGGTATTCCCAATGCATATCAAACACTCGCTGGTGAATTTTATTGATGGATCGATGAGTGAAAGAAAAAGAAAACCGACGTTATACCTATTGATTGATTACGCACATGGGATTTGCATATTTGATATTTTCAGACTAATATTGTAAATTTCCAGCAAAAAAAATTCCTTTTTCGCTAATTTTTATACACAAACCTCAAATAAAACACAAAATTAAGGTAAAAATCACGCCGCTGACTTCAATCAGCTTTCATTCAGTCGAAATTGATTTTTTTGAGTCAAAAACATAATTTTAAATATCTAGGAGAATAACTCTGCGTAATATTTTATTAAATGGAATTTTTAATTAGGAGGAAATCAAAAGGAATCTAATTTTACCTTTCGCCCGGAATTTCTTCAATGCGACACAAAGAACGTATTTGAATCCCTTGCTTCTTTCAATATTCAGTACACCGAATTAAAATTAAGTTTCATATATTAAAATGAATTTTCCGATACTGATGGCGCACGAGTGTGTGGGTGCTGGATGTTTCCATGGCTCGCGTTCGTCATATTCATTTCGTTCGCGGAAATGTTCACCCCATCAACCTCTTTCCGGCTTCTTCGCGGGATGTCGTCTCGTAGGCAGTTGCGTGGTAGGGGTTATTACGTCTGCGTGTATTTTTAATAACAACATTGATTGAGAGCACAACAATAACAAATTTCAATAGAAATCTTCGGCATGATGCGTTTTAATCGGAATTATCGCATTGAATGATGCATTTCGAATGTGTTTTAATTTTCTTTTGTCATTATTTTCGCATTTCAAAATGTTGACATGACCACCGGCAGATATTTAACAACTCTGTGTGCTTTTATCGAATGTGTCACGTCGTTTTATCAACGCGATGCATGCGAATGTGTACGTAATTTAAAATATTTTTCAATGCAAAAGGGGGGGAGCCTTTTCGCAATTGTGGACGTTTTGCGCTGGTTTCGGCTGCCAATCAAGCATTATTAAGCATTATGTTTATGCATGAACGTGTAAAAATGTTGGCGTGTTATCGAATTTCGGCTTTTATTCAATTCGCGTGTTTAGTTGGGTTATTTTTTATCAAATTCGTGAAATTTAAATTAAAAATTACATGATTTATAAGGGTACTACCTGCGTGTTAATTTGCGCGCAGCCAGAAAAAAAAACTCGCGGCAAAGCTGATAACATTGTGCGGACAAATGCGGAGAGCTTTCCATTGTTGATTTTGCACTTGTTTTCGTTTTATTTTTTACCCTTGCGAGAAAAAGAATGTCGCTATTATATGGTTAATATTCACGTATTGTATCTTTTTTTTATCCATAGGCAACCAGGCTACCACGATGCACTACTGTGGTTTTGCACTAGCGCGCATGCGCATTGAATCAATTGGTGTGCATTATGTGGGATTTGCAATATGTACCAAACAAATATGAAATTAAATTCTGAATAAACAGCAATCGTGATATGCGGATGTGATATGATGATATGTTTTGATGCGATAAGGCTCCGCGCCGGGGGCAAAACAAATCCGAACAAATGAACGTCGCAAAAAGTAAACACGACCATTTCGATATGTGCGGCCGTCACGAAAAAAGCACGCGATGGGTTTAATCTGCGCGCATCTGCCCATCGCGCCGCCCCCCACGTCACTTACGCCGCGTTATTCGCATTATCAACACATCATGCATATACGTCATTCCGCGCGCGCGTTAATGTTGTTGCTGTCGTTTTGTTTCGCCCTTTTGTCTCGTTTGTTTACACGTTTTCTTTACATTTTACATTTTCGGCGGCGGCGTTTTTGTTTGCGCCGCGAATCGGCGTTATGTTTGCGCTTCTTCTTTGCGCGTACGCAACACGTACGCAAACGGACGTGCGAAAGCGTTTAGCGATCTCGCCGCCCCCTGTCCTCGCAATTGTTGCGTTTCGCGTTTTTGACTCGCGGCGTTATGATTTCATAACCGGGCTCGCGTGGGCGGCCCGCCGAATGCGGAATAAATCAATAGTTTTCAGCGGCGGCGGTGTTTAACAAAGACATAAGATAGCGTAACGAACGCACTCGTATTTTTGCATTCTTTAAGTACCTTCGCGCGCTGGTGTGCGACGTGCGTAAGCACTTGTTACTCGTTCAATTCCCATCAGGCACGTGCCGTCAGTTTTCATCTTGTTTTCCCTTTTTGCCATCTTTGCTCGCACATCAATCTTGGCCGCGTGCCGTCTTGCTTTTTCTTGTTTTCCTGCTTTTCTTCGATTTGCTTTCCTTCCCTCCTGTTTTGCATTTCAGACATTATATACATTTTATATACGCCTGTATTAAAACATATCATCGCGTTACATTACCGACATATAATTATTTAAATTTTTAATCAATTTCCACGATGTTTTTAAAATGTGTGCAAAAAATATCGCGAATAAGATCATTTTGTTTTGCTATGAGTATTTTGGTTCCTTTTGAAAATACGGCCCTGAAAACTAAAAACGCGCTGTTTACTCGCGCATGTTTGACAGAACGCCGAAAAGAAACGCAAAGGAAAGTAAGGAATCCTCCTGGAGGAGTTTTACGGCGGCGAAGAGATGAAAATGGAAATATTATATAAATAGCGCACGGTATTGCAAACAACAAACAAGCTTGCGCGACGAGAGCGTTCAGGGGCGCGCACCACCACTAGCGGTGCGGGGTGCGCTCGGATCGAACGTGAAAAATGAGGAACGCCGAAGCGCGAACAAAGAGCGCGCCGCGGGGGGAGCGCGCGCGGAATGAGGGAAATTTTAATACACTTAGTTATAAAATTTCAGCCGACTGCCACCCGTGCACGGAAACAAAGAACCCGCTGCGACCTGGAATCCTCGAATCGTTAAATTGAATCAAACGAAAAGTGGCGTAGCAACATTCGTGCGCTACTGCTCATGCGCATAAGGAATCATCACGTTGAAACCGCACTCGGTTTTTGGCAAATCCTGATGCAAAAGTTGCAACTCGGAATCTAGGTCAACGGCAAAATGCACCACACCAGCCCATCGACATCGACATCGCGTCCTATTCATTCGACGAGAAAGAAACGAGAAACAAGAAACAAGTTCGCGGCCAAACGGTGGAATTAAACGCGAAAAAGAAAGAGCGAGGCAGCGAGGCGCAAAAAAGCGCTTAGCAACAAGCATCTCGCGCACCAGCTAAGCTCAAAGCTGCAACCCAAAACCGCAGAAGCGCGAGTTCATGACGCAATGCACAAATGCACAAATCCAATGCGCATCCGCGACATTTGCAGCTTTTTTGGTTGCTGTGTGAGTCATGACCAACGCACGTTTAACCACCCCACAGGAGCAGGAGCTGATGAGCTTTCCGCATTAGGGTGACATCTATACGAACAGTGGAAGAGGTGCTAGAAAAGGCGCATTTATTACCCAGCTTATTAGCCTTGGCAAGCGCGCAAATAAAACGAATCAAGCTCTCTTTTATTGATTGAAATGGGTTTTTGTGGTCGCCGCCCTCGGGCAGGCTCAGCCTCATCTCGACACTATTTATTACCGAATTGAATGAATGCAAAACCGTTATCTGCGGGCCGGTGTGGTGCGATGTGCTAACTTTCTCTCAAATTTGCAAAGAAAGAAAGAAAAACGTGTGCACATGCTCCCCGCTTTGTTAGTTTCTCTTTTTTTAGCTTAGCTCGGCTCGTCTCCTTTTTTCGCGACCATATTTAACGTCGCCAACTACCCACGGCCACTCCGTGAGTAAGTAAGACGCAATGAGAACAAAGACGACGCTAAAGACGTGCCGTCAATTTGCCGGACTAGATGGAACTTTCCAATTCGAATTTGATTGTTTCTCAGGCAATTTCGGAGTGTAATTGCCGGAAACCGCCATGTTAAAAATGCATTCAAAATATATCAGCAATATTGTAATAGCATTAATTATTTTATTAATATTTAAAATATTCAACTATGTTTATAATATAGAAAGTGTTCCACGAAAACAACACAAACGATAAGTCCAAACAAACATACGTTCCGATGGAACACATTGCATATTAGTGTAATATTGTTAATTAATTACTTTATGAATGCGCAATATCGTCTGGTTGCAATTTGTATCCGCTATTGTATATTATTATGTGTCACCGCAACCAAGGAAACAAACCAGAATAACATCCAACGCGCATGCGCGCTAGCGCAAACCCTCACTAACCCCCACCTCACGTCTATTGGCCAATATTTACATTGAACGAACCTCACTATCGATCTACGTTTGATTTCACTGGTGGAAACATAACCGTAATTGTTTCAGTAATTGCATATTCGTATTTACATTGTTACATTTTAGTTCACTTACATCAGCATCACATTATTCATTTGTTTCGAATCGATTATTCATTTATCTAGCTGCAAATGTAATGTAATAATAGAATTAATCTTATATCATGGATACACAAAAGGTTAAATTGAACGTTTAACAGTGTTTGTATGTACAATGCGCTGAACCAAACTTTAGAATATTGCAGTGATGTCTTTCGTCATTATTGCGCATGTGCAGTAGCGTATATTAATACAGCAATCATTTGATTATCACAGTTTTGTAATACACCATGAGACTGTAAAGAATGGCTAAAGTAGGTATACCTTCAAGCAACAAATCACAAAATTTCCAGGTGCCTTGAACAACAATTACGTGAGATATAATTAATAATTGCTGGACAACCAAGAGAGTGACTTGAAGATGTGTTGTATGTACGTGTGTGTGTGTGTGTGTGTGTTAATAGTATTTTTGTCTTTCCAATTAGCGAATTCTGTTGCACTTAATTTCGGCTCGTTGAGTTTCGAAGGACGGCATAATGTAAACTACCCGTACGTAAGAAAGCGCACAAATGAATGAATCGTCGATCATATTTCTTCTACCAGAATGTGGTGAATAGTACGAATACAACCTTGCAGTAACAGTTACACTCGTCGCATGCCTAAAATTAGCGTTAATGGATATTTCAATATCGTACGAAGAAGCGCTAGACTGTTAAAAATGATTCCAAATTTGAGCCAATCTCTACCTTTGCATTGTCGTCGAGTAGAAGTTGGCCAAGCACCTCGTTTTCTTAATGTCTATCTAATATATTTATCAGTTATATCAGTTAACTACACGTAATTAGGTTGTCGATCAATGTGTGTAAGCAATTCATCGATAAGTTAAGTTGAAACCGTTAACTTTTGTCCGAATCAATTCAATATAATAACAAATTTCTCTCTCTCTAGCTAAAATTTCAAGTAATAAAAATATTTACATTTCCTTTGTTGCTTTGTTCATTTGTTTTCATTTATATGACTAATAGTAATCTTTGTTTGTACATTCACTTAGGTATTAGGTGTGTGTTTGGAATAGTCCTGCGCTGGTGTGACATTTGCAGGCGTTTCACGTTATCCTTGACGGAGTTCCGTTCGTGCTATTATTTCTACGTTTTCTCTTTTCGAGCTTTGTGTTATAGTCACAGCTGGGCACCTGTCGTCGTTCTCGCGTTACGCGCGACTTGCCGCTGTTTGCGTTTTTGATTTTCGGCCGAGTTGTAGCTGTGGATGCATTAAGCGCGTCGCAAATATCGGCAAATAATTGCAATAACGCGGCAATTTTGTGGGCCGAGCGAAGGTTCGCGCGAGACGCAACTTTCTAAAATAAAAAACATCAGAAATCTCGCGATCGTTGCTAAAATGTTACCGACAAATGTCGAAATTGCAAAAGCACACTGTTTCGTGGTGCACCATGCACGCCATCGGCGATGCACCTCGCTCCCCGCTCCGCACTTCGCTCATTTAGGAAATATTTGCGCGTGGCTCATACAGGGTGACGCTGTAATCAGTTCTCCAGCCTAAAGAACCATCATTATTCCATCACCCGTAATTGTAAAGCAAAGAGTAATTTATCAAAACTTCCCTAGCGTGTACTCTGTACCATCATGCAAAATCACGTTCACCCTGTATCAGATTTTCGGCGGACTCATTGCGGCGGTTTCTTGTCTCCGGGCGCTCGTTAGCTAAGTGCATGAGTACGAAGGGAAACTTAAAGCACCGTTACTCGGCGCTCAGGCGCGAACATAGTCTTCATCGGCCGTTGCAGTGGTGCTCGTTCCTAGAATGCGTGCTGCAAACGCCTGCATTCCTTCTATGAGCCCCCGATGCACGAAAACCACACGCGAGGCTTGTGCCGAGGCCCGAATAACCTGACTTGACCCATAAAGGTCTTTAAACTGTGAGCGCAATAAAAGGACCAAACAGGTTCTGGCGAAAAGGCAGAGATCGTGCGTGGCGTAATGCGAGAACGACGCCGCATGTGAATATCAGCTTGACATCATGCAATGGAGCTTTTAAGTCAAACGCTAAATTGTGAATTCAAGTGTTATCTCTTTATATTCTCTCTAATCCTCCTGACTGGTACGGTGCTCGTTACCAAGCCGAATCTGCTCCTTCTGGTCGTCGTCCACATCAGCATCTAGCTGATCGAAACTGTCGTGGTTCTTGTAAATCGCGGCCGTGATCTTCGGCTTGTCGCGATCTTCGAGTTTCTGTAGAGGTTCATCATTCACATATCCCGCATAGGTAGGATACCCGTACGAACCATTGTCGTAACCTTGCTGATTGCCATAGGCGTAGCTTTGGTTAGACAAACTTTGGTTGGATTGTGTGAGGCCCGTCTTGCATGGTAAGCGTTCCGGTGTTCTGTGCTTCGGAGATGTGGTCTCTGGGTAAAACTTTTCATCACCTTCCAGTAATTCATCATCAAATCTAAAAGCAGACCATTATTATCAATTTACGTTTAGAAATTAAGTTGCAAACCGTTCGGGTGGTTGGTGTATGAGAGCACACTGCTCCCCACCTGCAATACCGGGTGTTTTGTTGCAATTGGGTCCACCTCGTCGGCCTCCCTGCTGTACCTCCACAACGAAAACTCCGTCACGTGCACTCGGGGAATATTTCATGGTAGTCTCCCTGCTGTCCTCCTCGATGTCCTGAAAATATTCAACAGCTCTATTAGTTGCATAGACCTAGAATCCAGACATAGAACATCGATAAGAACACCGGAATCAACGACACGCACTTCATCAATTTAGTATATAGGGTGAGGTAAAACACACATATCGACAAACAGTGATCTGTCGCACAGAAACGACAAAAAAACACAACGAAAAATGAGTATGTGTACAAACGAAGACAACAAAATGAAGACTGTTTGATTGCTCGTACATTTCGCTCCTCTGTTTCTACAATAAGATGGTTATTCTTCAGTGTCATAGTTATGATACTTCCATTTGTCGTTGCGTGATTCCGATGCGTGCCGCTGCTTTTGATGCCGTTGACGATTTCCCCGTCGCAGAGTTCCTCGGTGTTTATGTGGGTCTCACCGTACTGCAAAACAAATTATACCCAAACATTTAATTTCCATCCGAAGTTGTCCACGAAAATGAATGATGCAAGGATATTTGACAGATTGTTTGATGATTCTCCATTTACATCTACATCTACATCAACCACATGGTTGATTGCAACGAGGATGGACCCGCCTCTTTCGCCGGCTTTCTTTCGACCGCGATAGTTTTAGAAGCGGGGCTCGTGCATGCCCTCCCGGATGCGCGCATAATTTTACCGTTATAATTAGTCTCCGAGTCCAATTAATTACCCACCGATACGGGCTGTACGAATTCGCAAACAGACAGCATAAATAATGCATTAAAGAGTGTACGAATCGAGAAAACCAGAGCGGTGCATACATTTCTTTTATTCCGCATTAAACCGAAATCGTTTTATTAATCTGTGGCGATAAATAAATGGCCGAGATAGCGAAAATCGATTCGCACGTCTCTGAAATTCCGCGTCGTCCGTTCCGTTTGATTTATGATTCTTTGGCGTTAGCAGAAGAAATCAAATTTCAAAAATTAATGGATAAATATTGGTCGAGTTTATTATTTTTGTGAAACAAGCAATGCTGGCTAATAAACCAATGTCCGAAGTTAATATTTCAGAGCAGAACGCAAGAACGCTTAGTCAACACGTTATTATTAGATTTTTTGTTTAGATACTGAAGTTTGCAAGTTCGCGGTCGGCGTCTCGCTATTCTCTTTCATTTCTGCGCTGGCTCGATAAGATTGCCTGTTTGTTTTCTCTTGCGCTATTTAGTTACGTGCGTTGATTTGCTTCGATTTCTGTGAATTTCGGCGCGCGGCTTTTGCTAGCTTTGCATTTTTCGCACGTGCTATGCCGGCATAATCATAAATTGCCGGACAATAGACGCTATTCAAACTCACACTTGCCGGATGCAGCGTAGAAAATGTTATCTGAGCTTTGTTTCAGCGCAAATATTTATGGTTTGAAAGTTGCCGATTTGTTTGGGAATACATTTTATACATACACTAGGAAACAGCATTCGCAGTGCTATTGAAATGAAATTAAAGCATTAAAAGCGCGCCGAAAACAGTTTGGGATATGAACAGTTGAATAATGGTCCAACGAAAAAGTAGTGTTGCATGAAGGACAATTGGACTTTGTGCATTGTTGAGTTTTGGCGCGCCCGCGCCGAAATTCACCCGCCCGACCGCCGACTAATTCGCTGTGGTGTGAATAAACCCGGGGCCCGACCGAGTGCATCCAGTTTTTGTAAGCATAGAAATGCACCGAGTGCACACTCTATTAAGCTGCTCGCCCATCGAATTTTAAACAAAAATTTAAGAACCAGACGCAAGCAGACAATGCACTAAGGAGACGAGCGTCGCTCGGGTGTGAGTGGTGTACTTACCTATGGAAACGTGGGCATCATTACGCGATATTTCGTACAATTTGTGACTGGGAACCACATGCATGACTTTCATTAATTTTGAATTAAGCTGTGCTTTGTCTTCTCGGCCGGTGATCTTCTTAGTTTCTTGCGGACGTCCCAACTTGTCTTCGTACGCATGCATTCGCTTTAAATTAACATCGACAGATCGCTCAGGTCTGAGATTTGCAATGATTTAATCTGGTTCTTAAAGGTTTGCTAAACTCGGGGCTACGGGTGTGTCATTTTTGAAACGCTTTCCAATTGCCTGGAATCAATCGAAGTTTTGAGAATGCATAATAAAATAAAAATGTAGAAAAAAAACGAGGATAAAGGAAGAAATTGCTTTTGAGTGCGCATACATTTTTCGATCAAATCGTGAATGTGTAAGCGGCTAGACGATTCGGTCGTCGTTGTATTTATTTATTTTTTTTAAATAAAGCCAAGGTCTTTCGCACAATTGCACTCGCACAACACACAGCAACATTTTAAGGCTGTTTAGCAGCAGTAAACAGTGCGGCATTTAGCCGTGCTTCAATTTGCGATCAAATGTTTGATAAACAAAAATATTTGTAACACGCAGTAGTCAAAAATATTTACACCGTAAATTATCACCAAGCGCAGATTTGTGTAAATACGGTCCTGTATGAAAAAGATCCAAAAAGTGAACAAGTGAGCGAGTTGGCGAGTTAAAATTTGCAAATAACATTTAGCAGACGAATGAATGTAATGTACACATAGTTTAGTGCCGAAACCTTTGGAAAAGTGCAACGTTTCGAATTGAGGTCACCAAATGCATCCAAGGCCACCGGATCACGGCGCAGCGATTCTTTTTTCTCTCCTGCTTATTTGTTTTGCGCATGTGTTTCTCGTCGCGTATGCATAATACGTGTTTTGTGAGTTTCGCACAAACCTCCTACTTGTTTTCGCTTCTTTGGCGAAGAGTGCGTTTCGGCCCCAATGTTAATGTGTCAATTTATGGTTATGGCCTGCTAAATAAAAACGCACCAGTCAAATACAAAATTCCAAATTAGCAGCTCGAAATTTCATCATGGCGGTGTGGCTCAGATAATAAGCATAATAAAAGTGCGATGCGCCAACGCATATCGCGAAATAGAAAAGCGGGTGCGAGGAGGCGCGGTGGACGGGTTGAGCGCGCGTCGCGAGAGCATCGAAAATGTTCGGAAGGTCTTTGGCCGGGCATTCACTCCCCGAAAAAGTTCGCGCACACGGGTCGCCAACCACCATCAGTGCGATGCACATGCACGTGATGCATCCATCTAACCGAAACTGTCAATTTCAGCGCTCTTTCCAGCAGATTCCAGACCGAAAAAAAAGATGGCGTCGCTTGTCCCCGCAAATTTCATGTGTTTAGTCATAGAATTCCGTTAGGTATGTGACAATGTCGAGTCGTAATTTTGAAAGGTCGGGTTGGAAATTGCCTCAAACCCCAGAACCTCAAATGGCAAAAAAGATCGCGTGTGGTGGCGTCGCGCGCCCCACATCAAAACCTTGCCGGATGGACGGCGAATAAAAGAAAAACGTCCATTGCCGGCTGTGAACGGCGTGCATTAATATGCGCTTAGCCCCTTTAAACTCCCGGCGGGCATATTCACGTAATACGCACGTAATTCGTAATAGCGTTCCATCATCGTACCTGTTACGTGTTACGCCAACTCGTTCGTCCGGTGCGAGAAATAACGCGAATTATGAGCGAAAATTTGTTTAACTTGACCAGAAATGAGATTTCACCAAGCGTTTAGCGTGCTTCAACACTTTTGCTAATTATTATGATTTTATTCACGGGTACGGAAAGCAATCAGCTAACAAAGACTTTGTGACAGCCACGCGCGCGGAAAATCTTCCGCATAAATTTGAAATTTGATTAAAGCACTATTAGGTTTCAAGGACGCAGGATGTGTTAAGAAGGTGGAAACCGCAGTGGTGAGGTAATATGAGTCTCCCTACCGGCGTCAAAGATCACGTCCTCGCATCGGCAGTGATAGTTCAATTTTCTAAGTGACTAACTTGCCCCCGAGCGACCTAAGCCGACTCTGGCAAACGTCTTTCTTCGTTCTCATCGATTCCACCCACCGGTGCCGCAGTCGGGAAATTTCACGTTTTAATTGTTTATGTAAAACAAACTGGTGCAAACTAGCGGAATGCTGTGAAAAGCGGAAGACCTTTAAGTATTTGAATTTCATCGTTTCATCGACTGAGACGCGGGGGCAGCCGCCGTGGTTTGCGTACCTTTGAACCGAGCGGCGGCCGGGGACCTGCCCCGCAACTGAACTGAACTCAACTTCCACCCGATGGTCCTGAGTAAAGTTCACTGAATGCGGCAGCTTCGCACGGATGCGAACATTTCAATTTGAATAGACTACAGATAGAGGCATCATTTCCTAAGTATTTGGGCGAAATGGAGCCTTGGCTCACCGCCGCATAGTTTTCCCATTCGGCCTCTGATGCCTCCATCCCTCTGACCGCCTTCGCCCGCCGTCTTTAACCAAGATCCGCCCGATTTTTTTTATTTATCTCCACTGAAAGGTGAGTTATGCCGCCAAGATTCGAACAAATCATTTTGATGCGCCCGAACATTTAAACGTCACGAGTTAGGTGTTTCCAAACCGATTACGTTCGAACTTTTGGCGTTTTCTAGCCGGAGTCGAAACTTTCGGTTCTTCCAAATTTCGAAGATAAACGACCTGTAAAACCCTCATCAGATCCACTCTACAAACCTATCTAAATCTCTCCACCATTCTAACCCAGCAGCTATTACAGAATAAACCGGTACATATTGTTACCAACTGATTTAAAACTGAATCTTGTATCCCCTGATGAATATCCTTGTCAGTCCGTCCAAAAATACAACGCACATCAGTTTGCTGGTACGCATAGTCAACCAGTCAAGGACAATGTGGAAAGGCCGGGCCGGGGACAAGGAGCACTGCCAAAACAGAGCAAACCGCCAAAGAAGCGAACTATGAAGCAACGACCTAAGTTCGCTAACCACGCGATCTGCGCATGTCAGGGGAGCTGAACGATGCCTCGGCGGATAGAAGTCTCCACGAAGGAAAGGGTTATTGACTTCCAAAGTCCACTGAATGCAACAACGGCCAACGAAAATGTGGGCACGCAAAAAAAGCATTTCGGCGATGCGCACACTCGCCTCCTCAACACAAAGGGGTTTACGTCATACACATTATGTTCTTGGTGAAACACGAAATGTTGATCTCCGGTTGAAATTTCGCGAATCATCGAAATGCTAATTGCGTGCTGGAGCGAAAACGCGCAAACAATTTGCATTTAATATTTAATAAGAAATGTAAATATGTGGATGTGTAGAGACCCGAAATGAAGGGTGCCCAAGGCCAACAATTTATGCACATGTCAAACGCTGTGCCATTCTCATTATTCCATTACTCATTGGCGTCTGTGCGAAGAACGAGACGAAGAAAAGCGACAGCAAGTTTGGCGCTTCGGCCAACAATTTCGTTCGTCACGTTCCTTTTGTTTAGTTGGCCTGTAAGATGAACTTTCTAAAGTACATAAATTTTGCGCTAATGTTTGCGCAAAACACGCGTTGTTTTTCATGCTCAAACTTTTCAAAAAATCAACATTTTGGGGTATTATATGTTTAAAATGGAAGTCTGACATAGTCAACTCGTACAACTTGTTCGTCCGCTGGGTTGCATACCATCGCAACATATTTTTGAAACTTTTTAGCGAAAAATTAGCTATTCAGACCGAAATAACTATAATTAGCCTAATGAAATGCTTTTGATAGTGTTGAATAGCGTTTGGGCAATCGACATTAATGACACTAATGAAAGTAACGACAATTAGGCAATTACCTTGTCGCCATTGAGAAGATGCGAATGTAACGGTCTGTCGTTACTCTCGACGCTGCTATCTCGATGCACCACGCCATCGTAGTTCATACAATTTCTCCGTCGCTTGTATCGTTTCCACAGGATCCTGCCAAAAAACAAGCGTTAGTAGCTACAAAAAGCAAATAAGCAAATAAAACCAAAGGAAAAACGAAACAAAGAACAATCACTGGAATATGTCCACGAGAAAGCTCAAACAATCGTTTAGGTAGGTGGCAGTTTGCTTCTTTGTTCGCCTCCTCCGTCGTGTGTTGGTCGATTTGCAATTTTCAGAACCGTCGGCTTTAATGTCTTCGGGCTTGAGCCCGTGTTTATGGATGCACCGGAAAAATGATCTTGGTTCCGACTCGTTTCGCGCACAATTTCATCGTTCTCGGCCACAATTCGAAGCGATAAATAACACTGTCTCTACTGTCTGCCACGTGCGAAAAACAAAACAGGACTAAAATAAACATCGCCTTGTATTTGTTAGTCATTACCACAATCCATAAACACCTTGGTGTTTGTGGGCACTTGGATTAAATGTGACAAAACTGAAAAATAAAGCCGTTCTGGCTGGTTACTGCTCTTGTCACGTCCCGCCACGCTCGCGCGCGTTGATAAGTGTGAAAATACGAAAAAAAAAACGGCGCAGGAGAAAAGGGAAAATTAAGAAAACTTACCTAATTGTAAAACCGGTCGCTAGTATAATTACCAACGGGATTAGTGTGGCGAAGCATGCCAGGAATAACGTTTGAATTTCATTAAGACCTGGAACAGAGAAAAAGCCAGCGCAGTTTTACTCATTTATACTCATTCTTCGAATCCAGCTGCTGCGGCCCGCAAAATGCGAGGCGTTTTCTACGTTTTAACATTCATTAGCCTCATATTATATTGTTTCAAACAGAAAAGTTTGCCTGTCAAGGCGATGTCTGAAAGCCGGCGCCCGGCGCATTCGCCATATTTTGTAGCGCGCATTCAAAAAATATAAAAAAAGGAACACATATTTCAGTATTAATTATGTGAATACGTGGGTGGTGGTTTATGTGGGTGAAGGTTTTTCTGCTATTTTTATACGCGCCAAGTTGGAAGTTTAAAAAGAGCGCAAAGAGAACGTAAAAGCGCCGTCTCGCATTGTAAATGTGGCATAAATAAATAATTAATTGCGTGGGACGGAAGCACGTCGATGGATGTGCGCTGGATGCGGCGTTAAACTAATATGAAATATCCTTGAAAACCGAAGATTAAATTCATTGTGATGAGCGTCGTTTTGTCGTCGGCGGCCGGCCCACTCGCCGTTTCGTCAAACACAATAAAAATATTTCTCGACCGACCGACGAGAAGCGGGAGGCGGCAGCAGCGACTACTTATTGGGATTTCCACGCACGTTTCCTACTTCCTTTTGCTCGCACTCCTTTTTATTTCCGCCGCCGCTTGTACTTTCTCAAACGCGCTTCTGCGTCTTCTAACTTAACGTTTATTTTTTTGTTTTCGGCTTTTTGTGCGCTCGTGGCCGCAATATATCGGCGCAAAATCGAGCCGGCCGCCCCTGGCGGCAAATAACGTGCCATTTATTTTTGCCACCCCCGTCGACGCGTCGCGATACATACGAAGGGGTAAAATCCTTCCAGGAATAAATGCGCGGAACGTTCTAGTCTTTGTAAAACTAAGCACATTTTGTAACATTTTAGAGATAATTGTAGTTTCGAATATATTAGCAGTCCGGTAGGTATTGGAATCAAAACCGCATGCTAGGCGACTCAATCAGGAGAGGCAAAACATAACAGCAGGAAGAAAGGAAGCTCATAAGCTCCAGATTCCCGAGAACGTGGTTAATCTCATCAATTCCACCGGATCTGATGGAACCGCGTAACCACAAGATGGTATTAGGTTCAACTCCTACCTGCTTCCGCTTCGCCGTCCTCGATGTAATACCCCGTTCCATTGAACGGCGGTTCCCGAAGGCGGGGGGTGATCACCGTGCCGTTGGTGAAGGTCGGAGTGGATCCGGGTATGAAGCGGTACTGTTCCGGGGGTAGAGTTGCGTTGGGCGCCACCGGCACATAAGGCAACTTCGTCGTGGTGGTCACCAGCGATGATGTTGTCGTAGCCCGCGCTTCACCGCCCACGCGCGCGCCCCCCAGCAGCAGGAAACCGCCGGTGACGTTGGCTAACGTTGGGGGAGTCGCGCCCAGCGGCAGGGTGAGATTCCCCGTGGTGGCATTCATTCTCTACAGGATCAAATCTCCATTGGTATTCAACGCTCAACAAAATACTCGTGTTTCTGAAAAAGAGAATGTCGAGCAACGCAATTATTGCGAATTAATCAGTGCACAATTTCCAATCGCTTGCGTGCGTCATGCTCGTTGGTTGTCAACGCGGCGCTCATCGCTTGTCAGTGGGCGTTAATGAGCGCGACATTGATATGATGCATGCGGCGATGGCAGGATGGCAGATAACTGATACATGAAGGTGGGCGGATGGGGGTGCGAAGCCCATTTTGGTCCCGCTAATGGGGTAAACAGGTAAACACCGACAAGAGATACTCGAGCGTTCGGTTTCGCATTCAAAACATTTTCTCGCATCAGCTTTTAAAGTAGGTGCGCGCCCGGCTGCTCCCCAAAGGAAAAAAAGAAGCGAGAAAAAACAGGACGGCGCTGAAATAAGATAGAAGGAAGCCGTCGTGAGAGACGGACGGCTTTTCACTTAAACGACATGAAACACGAAATCGAAGAGTACGCGAAGAGACGCGCACAAAAAACGCATGATTGATCGACTAAACACTGCCGTCGAGTTTAATCAAACAATGCCGGCTGCCGGGAGGATAATACAAAAGATGAAAGAACCTGGGGATTGAAGACGAAGCAGTTACATGAAGTTACACAAAGAATTATCAACAATTGGAGAGAATGCACTGGTCATAATCAAAGGTTTTGTGTCGAAATGGAGAGTTTACAATACAAGGGCGGCAACAACATGAAATCTACTAGTTGTGACTAAGGTCTTACCTTGGAGGAAGCAGCGATGCGCGGTGCACGATAACAATCTCGGTTGGATTATTAGTTGGTCCTTGGAAGTGTGCTTTGCAGCGATGTAAATAATCCACGCGGGTTACTTAACATCGCGTACGCACGACGAGCTGTGGTGCGTGCCGCGCGAAATATTTACTAGCTCGGTGCGGCAGCGACTGCAACTGCCACCGGCCACCCCTTTTCGGCGACGCCGGATCGCGGAGACAACGCAGGGAACGCGCGATGACGGGGGCAGCGCGGCTGGACGATCGAGCGAGACGAGGCGAGCCGTCGACACACCTCTGGATGCTGCGAACGACTGCGGCGTCGCACATGCATCGCCATTGATTGCGTGCTGCCGCCGCCGATGCCGCCACCGCGCGCAGAGAAGGGCCAAGCGATGCTCGCTTGCCCTATTGCTCTCGCAGCGGCAGCGGCGGCGGCGTCTCTGAGGCCACGGAACCGAGGATTGGGAGGGGCGGCGAACACGGGGACACGGGTGGAAAATTCCGAAATCAAACGCACCTCTCTCTCGGGCTGACTAACTGGCGCTCAACTTTCTATTGCTGTGACATAACGAATTGCAGGACTACAGAAAGAGGGCTTGCACACATGGATCTAAAATTCTACGCATCTAACGGCCAGCTTCTGCTGCTTCAGAATTTCATCGATTGGCTGTATCGCAGCCGCGTGCGGCGGTCATCACTTCCGCCGCTGCTGGTGCAGTTGCTGACACCAGAGTGAACGCTGCGCATTCCCACGGTTGCCGTGGAGTCTGTGAAACTGCTATCGCGCGTCACCTGCAACCCTGCGCTTTCTTCCGTGCGAGTATACTTCTCGAAACTAGCGAAAGACTTCGGCTTCTCGGCGTAATCCTGCACCGGTAGGGTCTTGGCTCGTTTCCGCAAAGTTGACCTACGCTTTTCCGCATTGAACCTCTGTAGTAAATCCATCAGCTGATGACGATCATCTGCAGGTAGTATCGATGTAACTTCATTTAAAATCTGAGAATGGAAACATAAATTCGCATATTATAAATGGAACGTGTAAAGAACCTTCACTCACGTTCATTTTTTGCATGGACAAGAGCGTCTGCACAATGTCACCGTTACATCTGTGGTCTCCGTTGCGGTGGACTTGTTGAAAAATTAACGTCATCGGGCTAGAGTCCCGCAGGACGCAATACCACGGCACGTTGCAGGGCTCGCCTTTGTTCTCATTTCTATAACCTGAAAAATTAATCACCTTGTTTAACACACCTACAATTAAAATTTACTCGGTGCGAGTTTAACACCTGCTTTCCCCTAATTACACTCACAATTTTTCAGCAACGTGCAGAAATAGCTGCGATGGCCTAACGTTTCAAAATTCAAATCCTCCTTGGTGTCAATACCGTTCAAATTGTTCAAATTGAGATTTATATTGAGATTATTGTTCAAATTATCGATGTTATCATTGTGATCATCTTCCGGGGGTTGGGGAACTGACATGACGTGTCTGATAACTTTCCCCCGCTTCGGAACAAAGACAACTCGAACTGGTTGGTCCCGAATAGCCTCCAGGAAATCTTTCGCCCATATCCATTTTTTGGATACGCAATCAACTAAAGCCTCTGCTGGTGTAACGCGTTCTTCGTTTACAAGGCGATTGTAGAGCAATAGGGCATCCACCTCATCGCATTGTGCCCTTTTTCTGATATTTTCCAAAAACCACGCGTTTCCGTGTGAAGTCACAAACAGGATATTGAGATATGGACGCAAGAGAGGCGCTAGCAATCGTTTGTTTTGATCCAACGCACGATATAACCATTTAAGAACCACTTTCACAAAATCTACCTCATCAGCGATGGGTTCGTTAGCCCTTCGGATTATCTCTACCAGTTTGGCTACGCATGATTCAAACCCAGTCGCTAATTTCCGACGCACCTTACCTGAGGGATTAGTCTTCAGAAAATGCTCTTTTGCCTGTCGTAAGAGAATAACTATGATGTAGACCAGATCATGTGAGGCATCCATCTGACACATGGTGGCTGTACTGCATTGTTCATCCCCGTCATCAGGGGGGACTATGCGATTGTTATGGACAGCCAGTGCGGCTTGGAACAACAACGCCAAGAATTCAATCTGACGTGCTGTGTACTGCGTATATGCTACGCTGGTACGGGAACCAGCAAAACAGAACCGACGCCCTCGTGTTGAAGTAGGCGGTAGAAGGCTATCAATGAGCTCCTTCCACTTATGCAATAGCAAAAGCTCCAACTCCTGGGACAGGATATACCTTTCATATTCTTGTGTATTGTTGTGGGCTAAACTAAGGTGGTAGAACTGTACTAGGAGCGTGGCAACTCTCCTAGATTCATAGATATAGTCATCCTCACAGAGGTGACCCGGGTTTACCAGAAGATTTGCTCCTGAATAGAAGTAATTAGGAAAGCGTTGTATTTTTAATGCATGCACCATGTGATCAAGGATCTTTAGAATATGTGTTGATAACATCCTCGGGGACCAATTAAGAATCAAGCGCGTGGGATTTGTAAAGTCCTTTTCAAGTTCATACAATAATGCTGTTTTGAAGATGTAGGAATTTAGGATTCTGTAGGTGTACTGTAAAGAAATCACAACGTAAGCAATTGCTATCTACTATTGCTATCTAAATTTTCCACCCTACTTGATATTTCTGATGCCGGGCACTTTCTTCATAAATCTCATCTAAGATGCGTTCGCTCAGCTTGAATATGTTGGACACCGCGCTATTTTTGCTATAGTTCCACATCAGCAGTTCCTCCGCAGCAGGGAACCGCACTTGCCACGCTGAAGATTGCACCCCATAACCGACCAGATAAGCGCCCTATGTGAAAGAACACATTAGCAATATTTTTGGTGTTTAACAGCTGGGTTCTGACCATTTGTCCTGCCTCATTGTACAACAAAGAATCCGGATGACCTAAAGGAACGCGTCCTGGGAAGTCAGTCGATGCAGGCCACGCATCACTCTCGATTCCTATCAACAATCGGACATTCATGCTTGTCGAAGACAAAGCTGGCGACAAAAATTCCAGTCTAATACGAATACCACCCGGTTCGTCTACGATCGCCAACCGGAAGTCCCGCGGATCAGGAAATCGTGGTGTGCTGCCATCTAGGCGAACATAACCTTGGTTATGATTCATGTCCTAACCTCTCTAACTTATCTAACTTACTGCCTCCGAAATAAACGTGTTCCTCTGGCGCACGACGGAGAATCTGCCGCAGGGTAAACGCATCGACCACTTTACCAGGAGACGCGCACAATATGGACTCGTCCAGCTCGTTGGGCACCATCGACATGTCACTGGCAGCCGCCGTTGCCAACAGCTCGACGTATTTTGCTTGAATCTTGTCTCTTTGAGGAGACAATACAAAATTAAATCGGTTTGCAAATGCTTGGCGTTTGAAGTGTTTTGTACGCACCGACGCAGGTAGCCCTCGTTGTTCGTGAAGATGCCCCAGTTCTTCATCATCTGGGGGTGGGCCCGCACGCGCGCGTATCCTTTGGGAAAATCCGGATCGTTTTCGACGATCGCGTACGCCGGCGGACTGTCGCCGTCGTACAACGTCGGCGTCGATAAATTATCCAATCGCAATAAATATTGCAGACTCGTCGTTTCTACCTGCGTGCATACACAAATTCATGTTTTATTGTATCCACCACCACCGCTTGAACATTCACGACTTTGGCGACTTAGTTACGGGCGTTTTTTTTTTTGTTTTCTGCAGTGCTGAATTAAACATAAAAAATCACACCACAGCAGGTGAAGTGGAGGGCGGGAGTGCAGAGGAAAGGACGGTTGAGGGGGCGGCACGCCGGAGTGTGCAAAATGTAAATTTGCTCCGCGCGCAGCGAAGCAGCTACAACACATCTATCGGCACTCACGTTGTTCTCATGTAAATGAATCAAATATTTACTGGCGAAATTCGGATCGATTATTCCGACGCCGCACACCAATCTCTGAATCAATCTCTCCACCACTGAAATAGCCAGGGGCAGCTTATCCTCGTCCACGTGTCCTGTATCAATATTTTGGTTGCATTAAAACACATTTTCATCTTGCGCGCATATTTAGCGCGCTTATTTTCATTAATTACATAATTAAAACAAACCGAATGAGCGTTTTGTTGTTGAGTACTTTTTAATTGAGTAATTAAAACAACAATTCGACTTTCTGGCCTTGGTAATGATTTTATCGGCGGATATGTTTTTGTGGTCATTATGGTAACATGAAGACGTTCACAGTTGACCTGTACACCTGTCCAAGTAGTCGGTAATAATTATCGACGATTTAATAAAATTTTAATTCTTATTCTATTGGAATTTCGTCGAAATTCGTGGAACGCGAAGTATTCGACTGTCGTACGCTCGATATTTAGATTCCTAATGACAGGAGAGCGTTCTTCTTGCCTTTTTATTTTGTACACTGCATGCATTACAATATTTTAATGTTTTAATTGATATTTATAAAATTTAGTGCTTTATGAGAATTTCAGTGATAAGAAATAATAAATACCGCAAACTATTATGCATTAATGGCTGCCATAAGCCCGGAATAAACAAATATGTTATCGCGAAAACAGTTTAATTTTTCCATCACTTCCATTAGTTTTTCCACAACATTCCTACGTCATGCGAACGCAATGCACACTTAAAATGTGCATAAAATTAGAATAAAAATGCTTGTATACAAAGAACGGGCGAAAACTCCAACTCCACAATGATCAGTTTGCAACAGTTGATGCTCAGCGTGATGCTCGTGACGCGGTTACATCACCGCCGGCGGAAAATAGCGTGACATGTCACTCGCTCTTCCTGAACTGCGCAGAATTGCAAACTTTTCACGTCCGTCACGTGACAGAATTGAATTAAATTTAATGTGAGTTTTCTGCGCGACTTTAATCGAATTATAAATAAGTGAAACTACTTTGACAACGAGTTGTACATCATAATTACGACGCACAAATGAAGCTTACTTTTCGAAGGCATTTCGTCCAGCTTGCGTTCGAAGAGGAAATTCAAATTCTGCAACTGCTCGGAGTAGAACTTCAGTTTGCAGTTGTGCAGGACAAGATCGTCGAGACGCGGGAGGTTTTTGCGCGTCTTGCGTGCGACGCTGTCTTTACGGCGCAACATCATGAAGTTTTCGTTTGTAAAAAAGTTTCGCGGTGAAATTTCTCGCAAACTCACATCGCGCGCGCCAGTTGAAAGTTCATGCGTTCGCGCACCTGAGCATGGGTGTAACTTATCGTCATTGATGCGAAGGCTAGAACCGGTAGAAGCGAACTACGAACACCGCCGGCCATCCGATACACCTAGACTACTCGATGTGCTACTGCTGGAAGTGCATGCGACCGTAGAGCGGGGTGACGGCGGCGGGCGAATAGAAACGGAGTAATTACCTGCGCCGGCAATAGCGGCGGATTCGCGCGCCGCACCTGTGCGAGGCTGCCCCGCAACACGCGCCGCCACGATGACAACAAGCGCGGCGGCGTGCGCCGCACACGATCACAACATTCCTTATGAATTTTTATGCATTCCAGATACAAAATCAATGCCACCGCATGCCGGAGACGCTCACCGAATCTAATTACAGTCACATGCTGTCATTACCAGCGCCCAAAACGCAAAAAACGCAAAAATTTAGTTCCAGCCTAAATAAATCCTTAATATTTTGAATGAACGAGTTGTTTGATTGTTGCATGCCGGTGGCTTTCAGACAATATTGATTCAAAGTTTGTGCTTCATGTGTCTCTGGTGACCCAAATTACGGCTCAAGGCTACTCAAGTAATCACTTTCCGGTGTCCAAAAACTGATGGGCTACCCATGTTTCGATTGGCTGGACATCGAAAACAAATTTCCCAATCAACAGGGTATTAGATATTTCGAAAAGAAAAAACACGTCCTCCTGCTACTCGAGAGAAGTAGTATTTACAAAACCATTAGTGCATAATGTCCTGATATTTATTTAAGCGACAGGCACGATCATCGATCTGTTTCAACTTCTTCAACTCTTCGGCGGTGCACTTTAGATGTGCGCGCGTGTTTTATTTCTTTATTTTCTTGCGTGCGAGAGCGGCGCGTGTGTTGCCTTATTCACATTCAATCTTCGATTTGCTGAGGGTGGAAACGCGGGTTTTGTCAGGTTTATGGCTTGAATGTTTACATTATTATCGTGCTTTCTTGTTTACCGCATAGAAGGTAATCAATTTATAAAAAGCAAAGGTGTGCAACTGTAATTAAATCGAGTATTATTTGTAGGTGAATGTTTTGTTTTCGATTTGATTCATGATTGCGGTATTAGGAAGTATCGGAAGTAGTCGGTATTTGTTTTGCGTTTTAACTTTATAAGCCCTTAACACGCACGGGAAATAAACGAGGACGGTCTATAACACAAAACACAAACAAATCAATCCATAGAATATGTGAATTAGTTTGCAAAGCCACTTCTTTTTCATTCCAGCCAAGAAAAGTTTAATTTTCTTGTCATTTTTCTGCAGCACATCGGTTTTTTCTCATCAATTCTTCCAATTATTCAAGATTAAATTACTTTCCTTTGGCAAAATTTTAAATCCAGTTTAAATTAACGCAAATTATTCATTTTCCTTATGATAGCATCATCGCCGACTGCAATTTTGTCTTGAATAGCACACAAATCAATAATTTATTATTTAGATTTTAGTCATTTGCTGGCTAGTGTTTATTCATCCGCAAGTTTTCCGTCTGATGTATTCATTAGTGCGCGCAATGTTTTCCTTCGGCCCATTTTCATTTGCATTCATGGTTTTTATTACACGCTCTAGCAGCAGTCAGGGAAAACGAGTTGTAATGAGATCCGACGTCACAACAACATGCAGAAACAGGCTGGCGTCCATTTTGAGGAAAATATCGTGCATTTTTTATGTCATTTCGCTAAACGTGCCGCAGTAAATACAGCAAACGCTTAAATTTTTCAGCGGAACCTATTATTACCCGCTTCGATTGTCTCCCGAAGCACAACTTCTTACAAACGACAACGCCTTTGATTAAAATGCTGTAATCATTGAAATTGCCCGCCAATTAGAGCCTTGCGCCAGAATGCACTTCTCGGCGACGTTTCAAGGCGACGCACCCCGCAACCGCGGTGATGATAAAAAATTGATACACAAAAAACTAACCTTGCTTACTAATTCACCTTCGCGTTTCATTTGTCATCGAGGAAAATCGATGTTTCTTCAAAGTGATGCATGCTTGGTCGAAATGGACGAAATTGAAAACATTCAATGTTATTGGTTAATAAACGCTTAATCGCTATCGAAATTGCATTTTAATCGCAAGCAGCAATGATTGCGATAGCGTTTTCACGTTGTAACGAAAAGCGGTTTTCGTCATATACGCTCGACGCAGAATCCAATGCTGAGGTTTCGTAGTAATGACCGCATGTGAATAGAACGGAAGTGCGAGCATACGTTTCGACATCCGGTTTTTTGGACGAGGGACAATTCGTCGTCATTAATTCACGATGTTTCAATCAGCTGGAGGAGACAAAACTTAGAATATGTTCGAATTAAATTTTGTTTACTTTTCGGTAATTATCGTTGAATTATTGATGCTAATTGAAATCGATTGTGTCCGATTTCTTGGCCGCTGATTTTTACCCAAAAAAATGCTGAAAATAATTCATTGCAGGGATAACAAAGCGCGTGTAAGCGGCGATTTACGATTTTATCGTTTTCATTCCATCGATCCGCCACGAACTTTGACGCTGAACTGTTTACAAACATTGTGGCGATACGCATCTACTAGTACTATATTCATCAATATAGTGTTGTTTCGGTATAAAGAAATATAGAAAAATGACACAAGGTATTCATGTATTTAAAGTATTGCAATACTAAAGCGGCGTGTAGGGGTTTCTGCGATTTGGGCAAAACCTAAGGAAGTCCAACCCCTGATGTTGCTCAATCTTGGTGTTCGCAAGAATGCAAGAGTATGAACCATGCATTGCAGAAGCAGCCGTATTGCTCTTGAACACACAAAGTACAAGTAACACAGTAAAAAAGTGAAAGCGTTTCTATTTTCACTGAAAACTCGAGCAAATATCAAGTTCGCATGGCGTCCGTTAAGCGGCTCTATTAAGTATTGAAACGATTCTTCCATCGTCACAAAGTGTACATTACCACCTCAGCGGCACTCAATTCGTAATTACAAATAGATCATAATTAGTTTTAATGATCGCATTGGTGGCATTTCTGTCGTGTGCGTTCGTTTTTTTTCCAAACTTATTTCGATAGGTTAACATCGATAGCGTTAATTACCACATTCGATCAATCGAAGCAACTAGGCGCTACTCCCACAGCGCGTTATTATACACGAATAAATTATTTACACTTTCTGTCATGACGTGCGTCTTAAAGTGAAATTATTTAGTTATTTAGTTGTATAGTTCCTTCCTTGCATAACTAACTGGGTGTAGAGTCGATAATCTAAATAATCTCACTCATTGATCATTTATCTGCGCATGCTTCATTTTAAATTTGATTAGAATTTGCGTTGCAAGGTTTTAATAATGACCTTGAACCGGCCCAATCTATTTTCATCAAAACTTTGCTAATCTAACAATTTTCGCTGTATATAATTGAAATTTATTGCGTTATGTGTTAAAAACGCTCCGCAATTAATATATATTGCTATTGTTGACGTTTCTTAATACTAATATGCGCAATCTGCTTGAGAAATGTAGCTGCAAGAAGCTCAAAGCCAATTAAACATTGTTTCAGTAAATATTTATTTTCATTTACGCAATTTACGCAAGGATTAAACATGAAAACGTTATTTCACGATAGGCAACCCAGCATACTTCGAATGTTTACCTTTTTCAGCTTGTTTATTTAATATTGTTGTTTATTTTATCGAATTCCGTGTTTTCAAGCAAAAAACGTAGTGTTTGGGTTAGTTTTGTGAAATTTGCACAACGCGTGTGCTAAAAATGTTTTTCACGTTTTCTGTGAATGAATTTCGACTCGAAAAAAAGTCGTAAACGTGCCGGCGCTTTGCACTCCTAGTTTGTTTACGCCGCGCATTATTTGCAATTGAACGCGCAATGATTAATGTTCAATTAATTGATAATAATACACTTCGACTACTTGCTACACGCTCTACACTAAACATGCTAGACTTTTCAACTCAGCGCACTCAGCGTACAGCATGTCCTTGTTATTTCTATAAACAGTTAACATCTGCTACGGAACGAATTGAATTTCGCGCATTTCGGGGACGTATTGTATGCTGGTAAGATGCAGGGAGCAAACGAGCGAATTCTGGACTTCGACTCCGCCATATTTTGATGTTGAGGAAGCTGGTGCTGGCGGCGGGCGATTAGCGATCAATGATTAATTAACGCAAACTAATAGCGCAATGCGAAAACAATATCAACTTTTTTGCCCGCACGCTTGTTTACTTAATATCGTTTAATTTGGCGTAGCGGATGTGTATTATGTAGCATTTTCTAAAATAAATAAAAATTATAAACAAGATGACTGCGCATTGCTGGACATTTGATACTTTAGTGCAGTTTTTATGCGATATTACAGTAGATATTTATAATTAAATCGTTCTTACTCACATTACGTGCTGTTTATCAGATCTTTAAGTAAACAAACGCGTTTTCGCGCGTCCATGGGACAAACGATGACGCCTTTAACGAATTGCATTATAATTTGCGACAATTATCACTTATGTTCGTTGAACATACAAACTGAAAGTGGTTGCTGTAAAAACACCCCTTTTGTCAGTATTTTTTCTGACAGATACAAATATATTTAGCTAAAAATTATTCATCTACACATCAAAATTTCCCCTTTAGGACACAAATACACAAATTCTACGTGCTGAAAATATTCATCTGGCCTATTCATTCATATTAGTCAATAATAATTATAATAGTAACAATAATTCGAAAGTTTTGTATTTGAATAATTCCAGTTTGAAGTGCAAGTTATTATTGCGCATGCGTGGTGCTCGCGCGCGCGACGAAGTCCGGCGCAGATCGCCGCATCGCCGCCAGTGCTAGCTGGTACTCGGTGCGAGCGTGTTTTCGCGCCCGTCCTTGCAACGTCCTCAGCGGTCGCGCATCTGAGATCCGACGCACGTTGCTGCAGGAGTCCTGCTGCGGAGAAAGCATCCACGCGTGGGGCCCTACAACGATCACACCCACGAAGGGTGGCAACCCATCTAACGCGCTGGACGCAACGATGAGCTTATAACATCGCGCCGCGAGTTTGTCAGCTTGTCACCTGATCAGCGCAGCCACTGCTTGTGTAAACGCAGTTAGAGACATGCACACCCTATGGTTGACGAGCAGATTGCTCTCGCGTGCATTGTGGAACGGCATCGCTAACCTTTCCATCGCTGCCGACCCCAACCTGCACAAGCGGAACGAACTGCATCTTGTGAGTGCAGTCTGTGGGTTTTCCAAGGAGAATACGCGCACGCAGCGGCTCATCAACGGGCAATTCGGTGATGATGCGTGGTTCGTTCAACGCACGAAGTCTTCGGATATTTTAGGTCAATATTTAATCAAAATTATCAATATTTTACTTACTTACTTGCATTTTTTTATATTTTAGGGGTGGCAGATGGCGTCGGAGGGTGGCGTGCATACGGCATTGACCCCGGCGAGTTTTCCCTGCATCTGATGCGCACCTGCGAGCGCATCATCCGTCTGGGGCGGTTCGCACCCCATGATCCCTCGGATCTGTTAGCGAAAAGTTACTATGAATTGTTACATCATAAAAAACCCATTTTAGGTAAGCTCTGTTCCAATAATAGATCTCGTTATGCATGAAAAACGAAAATAATTCAAGCATCATGCATGCAAACACAATAAATTGTCGAAAATCGCTTATTTTTCAATGTTTTTCAACGTATTGTCCACGCAGGTAGTAGTACAGCGTGCGTCGTGATATTGAACAAAGAAAACAGCACGCTTTATACAGCCAACATCGGCGATAGCGGTTTCATGGTGGTGCGGAATGGCCGCGTCATTCACAAGTCCGAAGAGCAGCAACATTACTTCAATACGCCGTTTCAATTATCTGTAGCGCCGCCTGGATACCAAGCGGAGGTGCTTTCCGATCAGCCAGATTCAGCAATGACGGATAATTTCCCCGTTGAGGACGGCGACGTCATTCTGCTGGCCACAGACGGCGTTTTTGATAATCTACCGCGTACTATGCTCGTCAACGAAATGACTAAAGTAAGAAATTGCAATAATTTCGTTGTAAAACATGTGTTATGATATGGCTTTGTGGTTTATAGTGTCAGGGCGAGCGCTGCGCAGTCAGATTACAAACCGTAGCGAATTCTATAGCGTGGATGGCGAGGAATTTGTCCTTTGACGAAACATTCATTTCACCCTTCGCTGAAAATGCGTTTGCCAACGGAATCAACACTATAGGTAACTTAATTTGCATAAAATTTAATTATTTGCGCATCAAAATGATCTAGAAACAATTATTCTTACTGCCAAAAAAAAAAACTTTACAATACGTTGATTTTTATCTTTCTGGGTGAATTTTAGGTGGAAAACCTGACGATATAACCGTAATCCTTGCAACAGTGGCAATATAAAACCAGTAGCGGCAGGAAACACCCGCAAATCATGGTCCGCTGTCTCAGTAATTATCATTGATATGTTCGACACTCCTCATACACGTGCGCTTTATCCTGATAGACTTTATTAATATTATTATTATTTTTTATTTTGAAATTTGTCTAGATCATTATACACAATTATTTTTTGCTCATTTTGTTCATATACTTGTACTTGTTAGGGTGCCATTGATTTGGTGAGTTGCATCAACTGAAACTGAAACGGAACACACGCTGAACGACTTAATGTATGCAATATTTTGTTTTGTTTTGTTATGTTGAGTAATTTTACGAGTCCTGTTAAAATAGTTGTACTGTGCGTATCCTAAGACAACCAAAACGCAACTCATTTATCTCCGTACACACATATAGCTTGTAATCGATGTAATTTGTCTCTAGTCGTTTCGCACACTGATCGGCAATAATGTGTATCACGAACGAAAACGCAAAGACTGCCAACACTTTTTCAATGTGGTTCTTTTTATATAGAAAACGAGCAATTTAAGCACAGTTGCCTTGGATTTTTCAATTTTATATTATCGTAAAAACAAGAAAAGCGTTCGTTGACAGTTGGCGAGTCACATACGAATGAATTGGCGTCATTTTTAAAGTTTTGTGTGTTGTTACGTGCCGGTTTTGATTTAACAGTGTGATGAAGAAACCAAATACTTTTCAATGTCTTATACTTTCATCATGCATGCATTATATTAATTAAAGTAGTGAAACGAAGACGAAAACCAGTTGATACCTAATATTTAGGTGTTGGCGCCGAATTCTCGCAAATTAGTTATATTTTCTCGATTATTTTTTTGTGAATACTTACGTTTAATGATGTAATAAACGAATGAATAGTTGTTTTCAAAATACGATTCTGATTTTGTATGCAGACAGCTGTGGAAACAATTGAAAAAGTTTGTTGTGAGGGTTGCATTTACTGTTAAGTGCGCATGTGTCGACAGCCATCTTCGTTAAAATCAAAGCTTTCAAATCTTTGAATACATCACTTCAGCACCAACGGAATTATTATTATTTAAACAATATCAGTGATCATGAAGTACCGTGAAATAATTAATGGTCGTATCCGACGGCGGCTGCGATTGACGATAGCAGCACGATCAAAATACACGCGCATTTGCAAAGCATTTGATGAGATGATGCGTTTGGTCGCAAAAACGAATCATGACGTCTACGAAAAAGTCTTCAAAACTGTGGGAGACCCGCTGATGAAGACTTGCGCGCTTGATATGCTCACCATATCGCATATTTCGACACATCAAGTGACCAAAATGGTGTTTGACCGTGAGTAATATCATTTCAGATTGAATTTCAGGCTAGATCTGTTATAAAAATGTTTTTTTTTTGTTACAGTCGATCGGATAGGAACTCTATGGATTTCTTTACATACCTTAATCCATGAACTTGATGTTATTCTTCAAAATTTTTCCTTAGTTTAATCCTAAACACCTTTTCTCCCTATTCCAGGCCTCTCTTCATTTCATTGCCATGCACGCGACTTAATTAATTTAATCCTACAGCTTTATCACTTCCATTTGTTATAAGTCATCCCAAGACAAAAGAAGTATTCGTTAGTATTGTTACAAATCAAAAACGCATTTAATATATGATTTGTTATTTGTTTTTGTGTTGTTGCTTAATAGTTTATGCATTTTGAAATACACGCTGTGTACAAGTTTGACGTAGGCAACCTTTTACACGCAACATGTTTTCAAATTCATAACCACACAATTTCAATGTGGTCCTGAACGTGTTTACAAGAATTTTGTTTGTTTTTTGTTTAAAAACGAAGAATTTACCATTTAAAATGACTAAACGAACTTTGTGTAGTGAAAGTGAGGAAGTGGTGAATGATTTGAATGTTACTGTCGACAATGCCGATGATGTCCCATCATCTAAGAAAGGGAGACGTTTTTCCGCGCAAGAATTTCGCTCGTTGCTTCAAACCGACCAGAAAACCACTGGTATATTAAGTATTGTAATAGTAAACAACTCTTTATAATACGTAATTGCATGTTACAGCTCTCAAAGAGTTCCTCACTTTGCTCAAGTCACACAATGAATCAGATAATGCCATCAGTGAGTACTTCAGATGTGGTGGTAATTGTTTGGAGCTGCTTCAGATTTGGGAGTTGGACACTACCTGTCCGCCAACTCTCATTGTGGAAATAGTTCAACACTTGATTGTGGCTGTCATTGAGAAGCATCCTGACATGCAAATGCCCACACTGGAAGCATGCAGGTATTTGCTCAACACTCATCTGACCCTCATCAACAAAATGTTACAACTTGCCTCTACACCAAAGGAGAGATTTCTTACACTGAAGCTACTTACAATCATGGTTGCATTTTCTCCTTTCTTGGTCAAAGATATTCTACTAAATGTAAAGTTCCAATTGAGTTTACTCATCAAACACATGGATGATATTTCCAAGAGTACACGCGTCGCGTTTATTAACTTTCTGATGTCTTTTTTTGTTGATGGACATTACCCAACAATTCTGCAATTATTACATAAAAAGTTTTTGTTTGCAAGCATCATGCCTGGTCTCAAATATGATCCCTATGAGACTGTCAAAATGGTTCTCATGATGCTCAAAACTCATGTTCTTGAAAACGCGCACGTTTCAAAACCGATTCGAGTGAAAATCTTCAGTAATGTTGTCATCAAAGGCTTGACTTACTTGTACGACTGGCGTGGTCCTAATTGCATGGAAGAAAAACGACAGAGGCCCATTTTGGATGGTAATATAAATAAAAACCATCGCGCGGAAATCGCCGAATTGACGCATGAAATTCTCCTTGTGCTTTGCACATCGATAAAACACGGTGTTATCTTTCGCGATGAGCTCTTCGGAACAGGTAAACAACATCGCAATCCTTTGATGTTTAATATCATAGAAGTGGCTTTCCGCGGCGAGCATTTTAGTCAGTTACAACAGGAACTCGTTGTTAAAATGGCCGCCGAGTGCCCGGATCTTGTCACAACCATTTGGAACAAAATTGCCGAATCGCTCGAACCGCGCCCTTCGATTAATTGGATGCGTGCGATGCGATTCATGCGCCAGCTTGTCACCGAAATAAAATCGCATGGTATTGTTCAATTGGCGAAACAATTACGGCCGCTGGTATTCGCGCAGGTGATACAGTTTCTCGTGATGCCGACGCATGTTTTGGACCAGTTAGGTCTACCGCATTTTGAATATGATTCTAATGATGTCAAACAAGAGGTGGCAGCCGGTATTGTTGATATTTTGAAAGCTGTGCATGGTTTTATGCAGAAAACGAAAGAATTCCTACCGGAGAATTACAGTAGGACATTGAAGAGTATCATCGAGGATCATCTTCAACGGCATATGCCTAGCGTGGAGTTTTTGTTGGAAAATTGGTTGGCGATTCCAAAAGAGGCACCAGATAATGCACACAAATTACCAAAATATGATAGATTGGTATATATGACCGCGGTGGTTAATATTTTGGATCTTTATCATGATTTATGTCCGGATTTACTTTGCAATTTGAAGTTTTCGAATGTAGATGAACTTCTTCAATTAGAGTTTGAAGAAAGCGCGAGTGAACATGGTAACAAACACCAGTTTAGAGTTTGTTTGATTAAGTTGTTAACTCAACTGGACCCGGGTTTATTTCTTGTATCAGGAGAGATATTTCCATTGTCTATGGGAATTCTTGCGGATAGTTTGCGTATGCAAGACGATGATGATACTCGTCTTTGTATCAGTAACATTTTGACAATCACAGGGTTATTCATCGACTGCGATTATGAAATCGCTATTTGGACGGAGGCATTGAAACAAAAGCATTTCCCGAAGTTTTTCTCCTCGTTGTTAGCTCTGCCGCATGAGAATGTTACAGTTGCGTGCGAAACGAGTTCAACTTCAGATTCGGACTTAGATATTCTGCAGAGATTATCCAACGACGCTTGTACTTTTACAACCTATGGTAAACCAATGAAATCCATTGCATATTCAGGTGTTATAGCTACAGCTCTTCAAGAGAAAGTCAGCAAAAAGCTTAGGCCCGTCCTGGGGACAATTGCGGTACAAATTTTTCATCTTCAGACTGATATTAGAAGTTTCCAGAAACTGGTGGAAACTCATCCGGGAAATCTTCCTGAAACGGTAAGAGAATACATCGCATCTTGGCCGGAATCCTCTCTAGAAGTACCAGAACTAATAGAAACAACGAATATTGACCTTTTATGTATTCTGGACACATCTACAGCTTTGTTCAGACTTGTCAACCACAAAAACACTAAGGCAGAACTTGTAGAACTTATCGAAACTACTAAAAAGCATGCGTCAAAAATGCTTGCCATGGTCTACCGTCATCCCAAAGTGCTGGAGAACTTTCAAATATCTCAGAAGAATACAACATTCAATGGAGATAACGTACAGTTTCTAACTGAAATCACCGAACACATTCAGAATGTCGAAAAACTTGATATTTCTGATCATTTGAAGACCTACCAGCGTTGGTTGTACAAAAGCGTGCTGGTTATAATCTCCCAGAAGATTTCAATGTCGAAAAGTGATGTGGAGACATACATGCGACTTATGAATACTTTTGGGTTGACTTTTGATGGATGTGTGGACATTCTAAATCTTTTTGTTTCACAATCTGAATTGCAGTTGCTCGACGCAGAACGGAAACCGAACCTGTTGTATACAACTCTCGTTGCGGTTTTGCACAATTACAGTAATCAAATTAAAGATGTAGCTTCAGAATATAGAAAGTTCGATAATACTAAGTCTTTATTTCGAATTCTTGCTGAGTTGAATCGGCATAACACTGATTGTTTTGAATTAGCTGCAACGATGCATAGTTATTTAACTCTGCAACCTGATCAAATAACTGCTGAGAATACCAGAGAATATTTTGTTAGTGTTGTTCAAAGAGAGGAGTATTGCAAAGAGAATGCACTCTTAGCTCTAATGATTTTTAAACAGGGTCAAAAAGACTTGCATGATGTTTTTGTAGACAATCTAAATGCAATATGTCAAAAGAAAGGCATGATTCTGCCTCTATTGTGCATTGCAAACTTTGATGCAGACTTATCCGAACGCATTTTCAGCCTTTTGTCTCCCATGTTGGAAAAAACACTATTAAAACCCTCGAAAGCCGGCCAACACTTCGAAAACCATTATGAAGGATTCTGTCGTTTGCTTGAGACCCAGTTGAAGGATACATATGGTGAATCGTACTTCAACAAACCTCACAAGGCTGATACAACCGAAGTATTTTTACCTGCTATTTGGACATCGATTGTGCTTAGGTACTTGTCTAACAAAAAGGTCAACTGCGATAAGCCAATCAACAATGCGCTATTGACTTTTGTACACTATATAATCAACATGGTAAAAGTCTTCCAGAAGAAGAACACCGACAACGTCAGTGAAAACCAGATTTGTATGACGAAGTTGGAGCAAGTTTGTGAATTATTTATGAAAATAATTAAGGCACTTCCGAGATATATATCATTGGAGACCACGAGGACCAACGAAACCTTTAAATTGTTTTGTAAATTGTGCCTAAAGCATGGCGTTGGATCAACGCAGATCTATGTCCTCAAACAACTCACGGAACTCTTGAAAAGGATGCAATGTTCATTGGAGCAGACAACTGAACTCTTGGAATTACTGTTCTCGCATTCAGAGTTTATGAATGTAGCCCTAGATGTACCATCGGAAGGAAAATTTGCTGTTTTTGATTTGATGTATGTTTTGTGCAAAGCCCAGTCGGGTATAAAGGAGCGGAAGCATGTCCCACTGCTGTTATCAGCATACTCTGCCACAATGCACTCTTCGGATAGAAAAATACGCTCCTTACTAGCACTCTACGAGAAAGAATCGGAACAAACGATGTTCTACGATTTTAAACCGTTTCTGTGGGGAATGGCCGCCGGGAATTTTTACTCCGCCAGACCTGATAGTAGAAAGAGTTTGTGGCGACAACCCCGCACCGGTGATATTTTAGATATCCTGGAGATGTCCATGATAGAAAACACTATTTTAAACTTTCCACTCAAAGCATCCTTGGGAGATGAGCAGACTGATACTATTCTAGATGATGAACAATCCACGAAGGTGTACGATGTCGGATTTCTTCTCTCAGTGTTTTCACAATTGTTATCTCCGGATTACAATTTAATTATGCACAAGTTTACACGCAGTGGAGCGATGGCAATTGTTGTGGCGGCCCTGGCAAGTCTCAATCGTGATGTACGCGCAGCTGCGTGTCATGTCCTTGCGAAGTTCTTTTACCAATTGGAAATGAAGGGACAATTTGGGAAGGACCGTCTCCTTTGGCTGCGTTTTGTCGAAGTTACTGGGAAGGCAGTCGGCGCTGTGGAGACACACAAATTGAATAGTTTTGCAGCGTTGTTCATGGCTCGCACTGCGTTGGTTCTTACCAACCCCACGGATCCGATGTACGCACCATTGAGCAACTTTATTGGGGTGACCTGCGCGCCGAATTTAGCGCGGATACCTGAGTTGTACACGTTTCTCAACTCCAGCGCAGTAGATCATCAGATACACCGACAGTTTATTCTCGAAATTTTACGCGGTGGGATGCGTACACAGGAAGATGGCGTCGTTGCTGATGAGGCAATGACGTTCAAGTTAATCATGGAGTTATTCTCCAGTGCAATTAGCGATGGGCCGTCCACGATACTCATCCTGGAGATTATTGAAAGGGCCGTCATGTTACCCAAGACAGCACGTTCATTGTGCCTCAAGCAGGGTTTGGCTACCTGGCTGCACAACGTCCTTCAGCATCAAAGTGATCCCATGGTGTTAAATAAGGTAAATTGCATCTATCAGAATATTATAAAATATCCCGGATTGGAAGGGACTATGGAGCTGGTAAAGATGATATCACATTGATGCAAATATATTTGATTTAAACATTACATTGATTTAGTACAGATTATTTCAACTCTTGCATGACTTGTCGCAACATTTGGTTGCACAGAGCAGCGTACGGATTGATTTCGACCAACTGAAAAAATTATATTTTTAAATGATGTATATCTCATTCATGTATAAAAATTCATATTACCTGAGTCTTTGCGAATTTACTTCCTAATTCCGCCGCTTTTTCATAGTCTGCTCGTGCCAGTTCTATTCTTTGGTACTTTCTGTGTAGTAGACCTCTTTGACACAGTGCAGCGCACAATGTTTTTTTCTGGGACCCAATTGACGCCAGGCGAATTGCTTCTGTGAGGTCATCCAAGGCGTCTTAAATCACAACAACGTAAGTAACAATATCTATGCCCATAATTTGATTTACCGTCAAAATTTCCAAGAAATTGGTAGATTTGTGCACGATTATTGTACACCGACGCCTTCTCTGGTAAAATGGCAACGCAATCGTTAAGAATATCTAAGGCTTTTTGATATTCTTTGTGTTCTGCAGCTGTTACAGCTTCGACCTCCTTGTTTTTCACAATTTGTAGATCTCTTTCATCCCAATTTTCATTTTCTACATCTACAAGCTCTTCGATTTCTTCTTCTTCGTATGCTTCAGTAATGGGTAAACTGGGATTGAAAATGCAGTTTAACACCGCCTTATCGTGCACACTCAAGTCTAGCGACATTTTATTTCAAGAAAACAGTTGAAATCGCGCGCGTCTGGTAGTAAACTAACGAAACGTCCGCGTTTTTGTTGCAATGCTGCTTGTTTGGTATGGTAATCAACCTGCTTGCCATCGCGTCGGGTTAATTAGCATAATCAAAACAACATTTTAATGTAAATACCTCGCATTTTTTCATGTTTTGCTTGCGATAGAGAATTACTCAATTAATAACCAGCGTAATATCTATGCGCAATAAAAATAAGGCAAAACAAGGAAAACAAAAGTTTAAAGCGTGAATTAATCGTAATAATAATGTGAATGAAGATAGTGATAAGATGCACTTATATGTATTAAGCCATAGTTTCTTTGCGTAAGTCAAGACGTTGGTTGGCGTTAGTGAGCGCCTATAAAGTTAATAGAAGATAATCGCGCTTGGTAGCACACGCAAAGCCTACCTGCTATTTTTGACAATGACTAAATCTGTAGATATGTATGAACTCATGCCAACGGCATGAATTGTCCAATTTATTTGAAATTTATCAAGATGCGCGTTCAAAATTTGAAGAAATAGTTTTGCACTCTAATCCAAACTGATATTATTCGCCCGGCAACGCTCCTCCAGCAACTTCACCTGAGTCTTATTAGTAGGGTCCTCAGTGTTCAAACCTTTCTCCATCCTTCGGTTTGCTAATGCCTGACTGATCTTGAGCTCTTCTCTACGTACCCGCAGTGCATGCCTAAAGATTTAATTTAATTATTAAATTTATTCATTTTATTAATCACGATTGTATTTACCTAACAGCCATCACTTGTATTGCGACCCCAATGATCATTGTTAATAACACGATGCATATCACTACCGCATTAGAAATCCTCTCGCCTTGTCGTGTTTTGAACTGATGTAATGGAATATCGTACTCGTAGTTTGTCCTGCGCGGGCGATAGAAAGCTGGTTCATCCATTAAACTGAGACATAAAAAACGGCATTAAAATAATGAAAAGCAATTGATGTTAGCATACTTCCGGCGTGCGAACAGATCATAATGATTGGCACGGAATCGCTGGTGTGCAGGAAGCAGGCTAATATCGTACCGCAAACGCGAGTCTGGTTTGCTCAAGGTTTTATAGGCCTCCGAGACGTCTAGGAACAATTTGGGACTTGAGTTGTGATTCCTATCGGGGTGGTACTGAAAATGAATTGGGTGTAAAGCATTCAAGGACAAGTATGTTTTCAAGGTAAACCTTCTTGGAGAGTTCGTAGTAAGCCCGCTTTATGTCCGTGTGGGTACAGTTCTGCGCCAGCTTCAGCACCTCGTAGTGATTTTGTTGCTTGTGGATTGAGCGTTTGAACGTCTTCTGCATGAAAACGTTACACAGAGAATTTGCGGTCATAAAACGAGCCATTTTTGAAAAATACCGGACGAATCAATTAAAAAAAAACAGGGAAAGATTTGGAATATATCGAATCGTTTTTCACATAATCAATTATCAATTTCACTGCTAAACGTCGAATTTATTTTTGTTTCCGTGGAAATATTGACAATGAGAATTGTTTATGTGGAGTCTGTCGCGAGTTAAAAAATCTAATTAACCGTAGAGGTTTCAAATAAAATTCAGTAAGATTCATAGCCAAATAGGTATTCAATTATCACCTATTAATCAAATACTAAATTAATTTTCGAAACTTTAAAGTGTTTAAAATTTCCTGTATGAGTTGTGATAGACGGGCTATATTTCGTTTTCGTTAGTCAGCAACACACATCACCTGATAAAGTCATGTTAAAAACGTGAGAATTAACTTTAGCATTAATTAAACCATTATGTGGTTTCATAAATCATACACTGATGAACTAGTGGGTCGTACAAAAGTCTTCCGGGCACAGTTTAGTCATTCTCGCACTATTAGAGGCACATATATTTTAGGTAATATTAGAAATGCAATTCATGGTTCAGGTATTTTGAGATTAAATTATTTTCTAGAGATTTTAAATAGTTGCCGTGCCATGTTTAAAATTCATGACTCAGTACGCAAAGAAATAGCATCTTTGTTTCCTGCTTTTAACAGTACACATTGGTATAAACATGAAGCTGCTTTATTTGAACAGGATTTGATTCGTTTTTTATTTTCCAAAAAAAAAAAGTTTCTTTGTGAATTGATGCAGTAAGAGTATTTTAAATTTAATTGTTAATATAAATAAAATAAAAAATAAACAAAGTGCACTGAAGATATTAGATATGTTACATATAATGGCAAATGTGTTCAGTGAATTGCCTATCTCAAAAGTCTATAACCTGTCGCATTTTTTTTTCAAACATGAGTCTGTCACAACATTCTTTTGAAAACCTGAAAAGTAAGTTGTTTCAAAGTGTTTTTCTTTCGACGACACCCTGTATAAGGTTTGTCTTTAAAAGTAGTTTTTCCTCTCGGAGGATGATCCCCACCTAAATTATTATATTTTGTAGGGGGTTGAGTATCCTCAGGCATGATGCAGCCGAGGCAGTGGGCGCTCGAGCAGACTATCTTTCACTGCTGTGCTACTTACCTACTCTTCTTCCAGTCCTCTATCTATTTGCTTCCATGTATTGCATCAGGTATACTATTCAAGTATCTTAATTGTATTGTACTGAATTTACATTGTTTTTATTTTTGAGAATTAAAACTGCTCCCACTGCGAATTGAACCTGCAATCTGAGATATCGTAGTATATCATTATGTTAATCACTCGGATATATTGAACTTAAATTTTTATTTATTTCGTATTTTTAATTATAAACTTGTAACAATACATATCTTAATAACTAGGCGATTTATCTGCAAGACATCCCAATAACAAGTGACGCTATTTTCTAGCGCGCACTATAAGTACGTGGGGCGAAACACTGACTCCACAGAACCAATCGTCTTGCGGGATGCGCATAATACAATATGTTAAAAATACAACTCGTTCCTTCTATTTATATATTATTGTTGCTATATAAAATAACCAAGTATTTAAATATATGCAACACAAGTGTGAGACAGAATTGTTAAGTAACAAGAACTATAAATATTAAAGCTGGCTTAATACTTAAATCTGAAAGCGACTACGTGAACACGAGGGATGAACGTGAACAATAGTACAGTCATTTGGTGCTCTTTACGAATTTCAACTTTGCCACCTCGTATCTTGTTCGCTCGAACCACCATCTTGGAAAAATGGTGTCAAAAAACAGTTTTTTGACCATATCTCCTTTCCGACTCATTTTACGATAAACATATCTATATAATAAATTAAACTAGAGAAAATTTCCTACAATTTATGTAAGTACCTTTTTCTTGTAAAATTAATAGTTTTAGCGTACGGGCGCCACAAAGTCTACTTCAACATTCGTTTTTGTCAAAAACTCATTTCCAGGTGGTCATGACTGCTATTTTTGCTTGCTATGATTTGAGGGTGCTCCTGCTCCCCCTCGCTTGTTTGAAAGTTTCGCCGGCCGAGTTTACTTTTATTTTACTGAATAGTCGCGTTGTTTGCAGTTTTGATGCCATGGTTGATAACGTAAATTGTTTTATTAAGGATTGAAGACCTTTCGTAAGTCAAGCATTAAAAGAAAGGATAATAAGGGTAAACTTTTAGAGGGATTGAGATCGGTAGTTGTTCACGAGATATGTCGGAAACGATATAATAATGAGAAACTAATCATTGCGTTTAAAAAAGGAAGTGTTGTCACGACTTTTCAACCACAACTGCGATCCACGTGCCCAACATTCTCATTTAAAAATCATTGTTTTTTGTACGCTGCTGAAATAACAGCAGAATTTATAGCGAAATAAAAATGAACGCATTTGAGTGATCGAAATATTGTGTATAGCGTACATAAATTATCGATGAAAAACACTATTTCAGAACGTCCTAAAGCACGTAATGATGATTGGGGTAGAGCGATTGTTGAATGCCTCGAGCGTGTTTATGATTTGGTCGCAGCCAATGCACAGTATCACAATTCGTGCATGTTTTCGGCGAAGATGTAGATCTTCTTGTTCTTTTGACGGCACTTTCAATGTGTTCAAACATATATTTGCTAAAACCAGAAAAAGGAAAAATTTTGCAACAAATCTATTCAACCAAAAGCATGATCGATCACACAGCGGCAGATCACATATTATTCTTACATGCTTTTTGTGGCTGTGATACAACATCTGCACTCTTTCATCAAGGAAAAGTAAAATGTATTAATGTACTCCGCAAAAATCCAGATTTAAACGAAGTTGTCCAGGTATTCAAAAACCCAAAGGCTGGTACAGAGATCATTGCTACAGCTGGCGAATTCTTCCTTCTTAAATTATACAGTTACAGCGATGTGAAAACTATGCAAAATATGTCTTCAAACATCTATAGATATGCCAACTTCACAAAATCAGCATACAAAAATAAATTTAATATTGCATCGCTACCACCAACTGAAGTCGCAGTCCGACAACATTCGTTCAGAACTTATCACCAAGTTAAATAGTAGTATGGGAATGAACTAAATGCAGAACAATGGGGATGGAAAAGAAACAAGAATGGGCTAAATCCTGTCAGCACACTTGAGCCCCCAGCTCCCGAAACATTGTTAAAACTAATATCTTGCAAATGCAAAAAGGGATGTCAGAAAGCCTGCGGCTGCAGAAAGACTGGAATGAAGTGCTCCGTTATCTGAACAAATTGCAGTGGTACCTGTGATAATTCGCAAGTTCCATCACAAGATAGCGATAAGGAGGAAGAAACGATTACCGTTTTTGAGCACACGTATGATGAACTCAAGAACCAAGATTGCAGTGAAAACGATAATCCCATCACGGATAGTTTGGAAGAAATTTGTACTTGTGATATTTCGATCGGTCCTGAAGACAATTAACACAGAACACTTGGTCTATCGCGAAGAGCGTATCGGAAGACAATCCATTAAATTTTGGAATAGTGCGTGTGGATTAGGCCTACTGGGGATACCACGATAAAAAAAACAAACGCGCCACGTACTCTACCTCATGGTGGTGTAGAAATGAGTTTTTGGCAAAAATTAATGTTGAAGTAGATTTTGCGGCGCCCGTACGCTAAAACTATTAATTTTACAAGAAAAGGGTACTTACATAAATTATAGGAAATTTTCTCTAGTTTAATTTATTATATAGATATATTTATCGTAAAATTAGTCGGAAAGGAGATATGGTCAAAAAACTGTTTTTTGGCACCATTTTTCCAAGATGGTGGCTCGAGCGAACAAGATACGAGGTGGCAAAGTTGAAATTCGTAAAGAGCACCTCGAAATCTATATGAATACCAATTTTCAACAATCCCGCACTATTTTCCAAGCAAAACTACCAAATGACTGGGCTACAAGTATATAAGATTAACTAAATCTTTTATTAACTAAGTCATAAACATGTATAATAAAAAAATGCGATTGAACCTATAACATTAAAAAGTTTGATGAAATTTTTACTTGACATTACTTACATACCTACTTATTTACAAACATTTTTCTGCAAATTGTCAGTTCAAACTAAAAATCTTTTCACAATAGGTACACACGTGGCTTACTTCCACGAATTAACAAATGACCAAGTTTAACAAACAAATCCATTTTCTTTGTAGAATACTTAAGCCGTATTATTAAATTTTATATATATATATATCAGTGATTTTGATGTCAATTTTTTCGTCAAAAGTACACCTTAAAAGAAGACGATCCTGAAAATTTGGGCTCGATATGAGCAAATTCGGCCGCTGGAGATTTTTTTTAATTGCAATCATTTATATCTCAGCTTCTATACAACTTAAAGACGCCTACCAAACGGCATTCTTCTCAGTAGACTCCCTTCTTTTGAGGAAAAATAGATATTTGGTCTAAACTTATATGGGGTTTAGCTGACAGCCTCTAACAAACCGTTATGGTTAAAATTTACGCTAGTATATGTACAGTGTTTCAAGTTAAGGGTCGACCAGCAGCTATTGGGGTATACTTTAATAGAATCTTTGCAGTTTTTGCTTGATTGCTTCAATTAAGTAAAGTTATAGCCGTCCAAAACCGATCAAATTTTAAAAATTGCTGTTTTCAAGTAGCTAGAACTTTTTTCTCCAAACTTCGATTTGCTCCTAATTTTCAGAAAAGTTGCTCTGTTATATCCTTAAGGAGTCCTGAAATTTGAACAATGTTATCAAGCTTGTATCCAAGATATAATTTTTTAAATATTAATTACAAATGGTATTTACGAAAATCATTAACCATTAAAATCATTAAAATCTTTCCAAGACTAGCAATCTGATGCAATGAGCGGTTACCCTACGAACCCAAGTTCAAATGGTAGACCCCAAAAACCAATAAATTAGTAACTCGAAGCACAAAAATTGCATTTCTGAGAGTTTCCCGGCGGATAGTTACAATCTGATGCAAGAACGGAAATACAATAATTAGTGACTTGAAACACCAAAGTGGCATTTATGCGCCCATTAATTACTATCAGAGGTATTATGCTAACAACTGGTGGAATACTTAGATTTCTTTTTATTGTTTGGCTTTGGGGTCTTCTTTTCCTTCTTTGGTTTGGAATAATGGTTTTGCATTACAAGCGTTATTTTGACCCAAAATGTTCTTACAGAGATGTAATTACAGAGATAATCTAATAGACTAACGCAAATTTTATAATCGTTTTCAGCACAAAAATGTGCCAAATTGTGTATCACTAAAATGTACTACTATGATTCATTTAATTGAAATGAAAAAAAGGTGCCAAGCCGGGTGCTGGTAAGAAATAACTAAAACGCGCGAATTTTCGTAGCGCGAGCGTACCATAGAGCTGTTGTTTATACACAAACCGCGATAAGCCGGGAGTATTGCACACGAAACAATTGTTAAATGTTTCTCATACTTCATAACGAAAAATCGCATAAGTGGGGTGCTCTTCAGGCTGCAACTGTACGCGACTAGTAAGCACGATAAACAAAGTTGTTTATAAGCGAAAACCTAGGTAAGATGAACAGTTTCTTGAAACAAAAACCAATAATGTTTTATTGAAGTGTGCAAAGAACAGGTCCAAAATTCATTCATATATGCTTTCACAAGCCAGAATTAATTGTACTTGTACAATAATTCAATGCGCAATTATATATCAGGGTAAAATGCGGTACACAGCTTTAAAATTTAACTTGTTTAATCTTGTTAGCTTTAGGGCCTCCTGAAGCAACTGATCCAGTCGTCTGAAACTCTAAAGCATCCGGATTGGAATCTGTGAGAGTAGGCAAACTAATTGCGCCTGCCTCTTGCTCGGCAACGTGCTTCGGACAATCCTTTTTCAGATGTGTAACATCGCCACATAGTTTACACCCGCCTCCCTTCGGATACAAGCCACGTGCGTTATCCGGGCATTGCCAAGAAATATGTCCTTGTTCCTTACAAATAAAACACGACGCAAAACGGAATTCCTGACTCTTGACAACCTTGCAGGCGAAAGCGGTGTGCTCCGTGGAGCCGCACTTAAAGCAAATACCACTAGCGGCGGTGTCCATGTTACCATCAGCTGCAATTGCCGGACATTCGGAGAGGACATGTCCCGATTGTCGGCAATTGTAGCAAACGTTCTTCTTGTCCCGTGTGAGCGCCTTCTCTGCCCGACGACGCTCCAACTTCATCGCCATATTCACCTCGCTGCGAGGCAAACCTTTACTGATCATCTGCTTCCGGAGTGCATGAAGTCGATCAGCATCCTCACGTTTAATGGGAAAACCATCATAAAGAACCACATCGATTTCTTTGCCATTTATGTTTAATTTCTGTACTTCTTCCACCGGTTTGCGACGTTTATGCTCTTTATTTGAATCGAATTTCTTCACTTTGGGTGAAAGTTTAGTATTTTGTGGTTTCTGAACATTATTATTTGCTTCTTTTTGTTCTTTCATCTGTTGTTTCTTTATCTTTCGTTTTTCTAACTGCTTTACCTTCTTATCTTTCTTCTTTTCAAATTTTCTTCTTTCTTCCTCAGACATTTCTTCAACAGTCTTTTTAATAGGTACCACAACTTCATTTTTCTTCAACTTCTTTGATTTGTTGTTTTTGTTTGTATTCTTTGTACTTGAATCCTCCTTTGCATTCAGCTTTCTTTTCTTATTGTTATTTTTGGGCACTTCCATACCATCATCAACCTTATCTACTTCATCTACTTCAGTAGGTTTAGATGCAGTGGCTTTTACTACATTGTCTTTTTTGTTAGCCAAAACCTTCTGATTTGCTTTTTTCTTCTGTACAATAAGTGTTCCAGGAAAATCAGCCCACTCACTTTTCTTTGCTTCTTCTTTCTCCACCTCCTTGATGAAGTTATCGTAATTGTTTTTCCGTTTTAGGTCAGCTTCCTTTTGCTTCTTCTGATGCTCCACTTCTTCTTTCTTTTCATTCAATTGATGCTTCATCTCAGCCCATGATGTAGCTTCTTCAGCAACGCGCTCATTAGACGCTTTGGAGCCTTTCGCACGTGCAAAGCGAGTCATTTCTAACAAAATATATTAATAACATTATCTTAATTTCTTTAAATGTTGAAATTTACTTACTTTTCAGGCTTCCAAGAAGAATGTTGTGACAGACACGTGTTTGGAAACAAAATGCGTCAGGTTATACACTTTTAAGGTAGGCAACTCACTGAACACATTTGCTATTACATACATATCTAATATCTTCAGTGCGCCTATTTTAATTTATTATATTTATATTTACAAGTCAATTTAAAATTACTTCTTATCCTTACTTCTTCAATTCATGAAGAAACTCTCTTTGGTTAAATGTAAAACCTGTCAAATCCTGTTCAAATAAAGCAGCTTCATGTTTATACCAATGTGTAATGTTAAAATCAGGAAAGAAAAATGCAATTTCTTTGCGTACTGACTCACATGAATCTAAAACACTGCAACTGTTTAAAATCTCTATAAAATGATTTAATCTCAACATACCTGAACCATGGGTTGCATTTCTAGTATCACTCAATCCATATGTGCCTCTTATAGTGTCAGGATGACTAAACTGTGCCCGGAAAACTTTTGTAGGACCCATTAAAGTTCTCCAGTGTTTGATTGCATCATGTCTTGCCATTACATACAAATCCAAAGGCCCACTATGAAACAATATTTTTAAAAATAAGAAACATATTCAACTGAATGTTATTTTTACCTGGTCATAAAAGTCACAAGCCTGCTGTAGAAAAATTTGTTTTCATGCTCTTTGTAGAAGTTACATGCATCTTCTTGAGAGAGTTTTTTCCGTTTCGAGCACACGATTTTAAATTGAGAAGATATTATCATTTGACGTATATCCGCTAATGCAATAGGATTAGCAACCACGTGAGGTTTAATTATTGCTAAAGTTAATTCTAACGGTTTTAACATGACTTTATCAGGTGGTGTCTGTTGCTGACTAAAAAAAACGAAACATAACCCGACTGTCACAACTCATACAGGGAGTTTTGAACACTTTAAAATTTTGAAAATTGATTTAATATTTGAATATTAGGTACCTATTTGACAATGAATCTTACTGAATTTCTATCTAAAACATCTTCATTTACCTAGTCCCATAGTGAAATTTGTAGGTATAATAAGATTCAAATGGTTAAACTGGAGTTTTAGTCACGAGATTGATTTAGACCAAGCGTAGCTAGCGTTTAATCAACGTGTTTAACAATGTTTACCCACGTGATCCTTATCCTTTTTTTTCTACTTCCACTCTATTGCCACGTTAAGGTTTTTGTATTTGAACTTTTGTATTGCAGCAGCAGCGCTTGTTTTAAATACGCTGTTTTTAATACTTTAGTCACGGCCGTCCATGTTGAAAGTACCACTTTTGTGTGTCAAAAGCGAGCAAAAACGGGCGCTTTAAAGGTGGAAGTAGAAAAACACAATTTTATATGCAACAGTAATGTAATGTAATGTAATGAATTGTTTTCCACTCACACTATATAAAGTACTAAAAATTGTCCCTTTGAAAGTAATCACAAAATTTCTGCGCATCGCATTGGTTGATTCATTCAAGAAACAGGTTTTATGGTATTCCCACAATTAAATCCCGAACGCTTGTTTTTACTGGCCTCCACTGGTTACACTTGGCCAGTGTCCAGTCCTCTCGCATAAACTCAAGACGTCCGTGTGCGTCCATTATGCCTTAAACAAACAACAAATAATATTAAACGTCCACAAAAACCACAAGTAAGTGCAGTATATGTTAACTCATTGCCTAATGATCTTTATTTCTATTCTTTTTCTGTCTGTAGTGTTATTAACACTTTTAATAAGTGTTTTTACCTTAATGGCGCCATGTTCTTCAGCACTAGTGGGACAAATTGTCCCACCTGGTGCACCCTGGCCGGCAAATGCCGCCGACTACGATAAGTTCAGCCAAACAACACGCAGGACGCATGCGATTCCCGAATGGGCCACTCCTGCCCCAACGGTAAAGCACCGCCTGCCGGAAGTGGATGACCGTTTGCCCAAAATCAATGCCACACCAGATCACAAGCACTGGAGTCGTCCAACGATCGTTTTCCATGAGCTTTACATGCGTAACATCACTAAGGAGATTAAAAAAGAAAAAGAAACTACAGCGATGCCTATTACTCTGCCAGAAATCGCATTGTTCACATCCGCACCTATTAATAAATCGGAAATGGTCCCAAATGCCATCCTCACTGATACAGGTGTTGTAGGAGTCGCCAATCTGCTACCTGAGAGTATTACCAACGCAACCAGTGAGCGAAGGTGAAGCAAAAAGCGATTGTAAACAAGCAATTACATTTTAATTACTTACCGGCGTGGGGTTCAAGGCAACAAGAAGCAATAAAACATCAAGTTTTGTACGTCAATATATAATATTTATTAAATATTTTCAGATTTTGTATCATCTCAGTAATCATTTCTTCAGCATTCTTCAATATATCATATATATATATATATATATATGTATCATTGTATCAATCTTTTTTTACAAAAAAGCTTCATGTTTCATCGATTGAGACGTGTGCTTTTATCACGGCCAGCAAAAACGTGGCCGGACGCACTATCACACAGTTATATTTCTTATCATTATACAATATTGTTAGAATACAAAAATCTACGGATGCTACCATCGTTAGTTCACATTATATCAGTGTGTTTCGCAAAAGATTTGGACAATTTGCCGAAAAGTGTGTTTTTTGACACAATAGAGCGCTGATTGGTGGCGGAATGGCGCAGTCGTCAACGAAGACGACTAATACATGAATAAATAATCTTGATAGAAGACTGTACCACCCGCCGCCAACCGCCTCTGTGCCTCCATGAATAAAGATATAGATCATTCGATAGCCTCTCACTTTCTTTGCTTCTGCAACATGTATCTCTGCATTTCTCGTACATAAATATATAATATACTATAATTAGATAATATCTACTAAAATCTAGTAACACAAATTCATTATCGTTCACAATTTTTTTTTGTATTTTCACAATTTCTTCTCCATCTGCACGGCCGCCATTAATTCCGTCCCGACTTTGCCAGTTATCAATATAACTTATACATATACATTTGTTTGTTCCTTATTTATACATTATACAAATACATTTCTTCACAATAATTCGTATATATATATATTTTAATATATATATATGATAATAATAATAGTTGATTAAATTTTTTTTGTATTTTTCTCTTGGATTTAAAAAAACGGGAAACGTAAATTTAATTCTCCACCACGAAAAATTCTGAGATCAACATGATGACCGTCACACTTGTATTTTCGCTTAAATTTCTCAATTAATAAAATCACATTGACATTGATAGCGAAGATAATTCCACATCTCTTTAAAGTACGATCCTCAAAATTTTGTAATTGTGAACGGTTGTTTTTTGGTCGTTTGGTTTCGCGTTCGTTTCATTAAAGCCGATGAAAGTTAAAGCTCTGATCTCTCGAGAGGATCGCTCGATGTGTGCGCTTCTGAAGTTGACGATTTGTTTTCTTCATCTCTTCAAAAACTAACTAATATCACAAAATAAGAAGCTAACAATTTTTTTTTGTTTGTTGAATAATTCGTTTTCATCGATTTCCCATTTGTTGCAATTGCAGATTCGATTCCGAACATAATTTAAGCATAGAAGTACATAAAAATTACAAAATACTGATATTTCGATTCAATATTTCTCGTTGGCCAGTGCCACACGATAAAAATTCAAAATTCAAACAAACTAAACTCTAAAGCAAATCGATATTCTGTTCTCAGTTTGATTTTTATTGCAAAAAATCCGCATTTTCCGGGTTGAAATTAAAGGAAAATGTTTTTAGTTGCACTTGAAATTATTTCGAAATGAATAATAAAAATTTCTCTCTCTCTCTCATATTAGTGTTTTGTTTGCTATGTTATTATCACGTTTCGCTTTTCTCACATGCTTGCTTGCTCTTTTCATCATTTTAAAAGTATTAAACCTTAAAGCAATTCTCTTATCTCAATTAATAATAATGATCTTAATGAATAGTAATGAAGTAATGATTAATTAACAGACATTAATTAAAAAATAAATAACACGTATGTATGTTTGTGTTGGAGTCGTGTCATCTTCTTGAAGAAAAACGCGACGATGTTTCGATAAGTTAATGAATTTGCAACGAAACTTCTATAAATATTCAATGAAATTGCATTTCCATTGTCACCAATTCTGCGTAACTATGAAAACGTGATATGATACGCGTTCGAATCCAATTTTTTTGTTTGCCTTTTAATAATTAATTTGTTATCATGTGAATATGATATATTTCTCATTCCATGGCGAAAATGGCGTTCAGTCTTAACTTATTTGCAAAGAAATTTGTTGTTTCTCCCTGCGCTCCTTCATTCCCGCATTCTCTCACACTCAACAACTCCTTGCTTTCTATCACGTGTCATCACCGTTTTTCTTTTCATTAAAAAAAAACGTTTCTATCGTCGCCGCGCTACTTATACAGACAGAAGATTTGCATACCAGGTTGCGCACCGTCAGAAAATTGAAGAGACGATGGCGCCGACTGTTGAAGAAGAGGGCTTGAAGGAGGGATGGACGTCGATTGTGCGGATCTAATCGCAGTAAGAACGATACAGTTTGTTCTTTTGCAATTTGTAATCAGCATCTATCATCACAGTACCACCTCGAGTAATTTTTCTATAAAAATAATAAAAATCAAGTTAGAAAATGATCCCGGAGCAATGATTAAAATAAATGGTAGTTGCAAAAATAATTGAACACTTACTTCAGGAATTGTGGCAAGAAAAAGTTCCACCCAGCAGTTGATTGTTTGAGAAGTAGCGTAACTTCGAAGGTGGAGGCGGTTGCACGGTCAAACTTGACGGTACCAAGTGTTATCTCGCGCGCCGCCTCTTCGCCCTTGAAGCGCAAGTAGAGTGTGCAACCGCGCAGACCGCACGGTTCGCGTTCCGCCTCCGCAAGAATATCACGGCTGATGCGCTGTAGCAGACCTGCCGGCAACAGCACCTCGCCGCTGGAGAAGTGATCCCGTTTTGCGTTCTTCAACTCCTCTACAAGCCGATCGGCGAGCGCGTTGATGGTCTTTGCGCACTCACCTTCATCGTCCGTGAAGGGATCACTATCATAGGACCAAGCTGTAAAAAAAACATAGCATAAATATACAATACACCGCAGGTTTAAAAAATAATAATTAAAAAAAAAAACATGAAGAGTCAGTAGTTGTCAACATGCATGATAGAGGCCGCCAGCAGTAGCAGGCCTACGCAGATCTAGTGAGGTCTAGTGGGGAGAGAGGCCCATAGAGAGTGAAACCCGCTTTCTGGTTGCCAAGCGCGCTGTCCTCCTCGCACGCGCTGCACTTCCAATATCTGCGAGAAGGAAAGCGCACGCAAACCGCCATTGCATGGAGGTCATTTCAGGTCATATGAGCCAATAGAAAGCCGGCCGGTCGAAACGGGAGCTGAGCGCCGTTACAGTATACAGCTGATCGCGATTTTTTTTCCGTCAGGCTCTCCCGACCTGTATCCTAAGCCCTAATGTTGCAGGATAACGTCCTGACTCATTTTTCTTACCATTAAACAATCATGCATGAATCTGACCAAAGTTTTAAAGTTTAAAAAAAAACTTCGAGATCTTGAAAATCTCCAATCATGGCCCAAGGGGATACCCAGGGTACCATTAACACTCAACACTATCACAACAGATGATAATAGGTACATACCTTCTTGATTATTGTAGTCGACATTTGAAATGTTAAGAACTTCCATTGTTGCTAACTGTAGTCTTACTGGGACGTGCACAGAATACTAATAAGTACGTCGTTTGATATCACAATGTTGCTCGATGTTTACTGTCGCGCACAAAACGATGTTGTTTAAAGTTAAAGTATGAGACAAGTTGTTGTTGCACTGCTTTCACAAAGAGTTCCTAAATCTGAACCTCTACACCTCGTCTTCTCCGTTCCCTAACCAGAAAGCAACTGTTTGGGTGATCAGCTGGCGGCTTGTATTTATACCCGCCACCACTCTGCAGCTTGCTGCCCCACCAGCCGCACTCACACAACTAGACCCAGGCCGCACCGGCGAACAAAGGATGTTCCGATCGCAAGCAAAACTCGACTATTTGACATTGCATCAAAGCCGCCTTTTTGGTAAATGTACACCGATTTGCGCCATTTTTCGGGAGCCACTAGATTTCGGGTGTAAGAATCTATATATTTTGTGATTTTCCGCGTGAAATTCGATGAAATAGTCGAGTTTTGATGCATTTTATGGATTTTATTTCGTCACCTTCTCCCCCTCGTCGTTCGGCCTGGGTTCACGTACAACACCCGGCAGTGCGCCTGTGTTGGAAAACCGGCCGGCAACATACACATACACGCACGCCAGCGAAACAGATGATCGGTGTGTATGCGATCGTTGCGTTGCGCACGGCTGGATGGTTGCCCCGCTGATCGCGGGGCTCTGGTGGCATACGTGATCGAACGCAGATCGCATCTACCAACCTCGAAAACAACGAAAAGAGAGCTCCCCGCTTATATTCATATTCATATGCGCTCATCTACTTGGCCCCAGCTTCAGCTTCGAGCCGTTCTTTGTTCTTCGCCAGAGTAGATCATCTAGAACTAGTTCCGCGGCTTCCACAGCTCGCGGTTGTAGAAGTAGGTTTCGTGTTGGAAGATTTTGACAGATATTCTGTTCTCTGCGTTTGATCGGGTTTGCCTTAGCTATGAAATTTGCCCGAGGATTGAGTGCAGCTCGTTTCGATATTGATGAGAAAGTAAAGAATATTCTAGAATCCAGTGGTTTTTGATCTGACTACTCGTTTTGCCAGTTTTCCAACTGAGCACTTTCCAAAGCCGTTAAAAAACGTTGAATCTACGAAACCATAGGCGACGAGCAACCCTGGTCGATATCAATGCTAGAAACATGTTCGCAACACGTCGATTCGTAGCGAATCATTTTTTAAACATGCATATGAGGAGATTCCTATTGGGTTCCAGATTGAGAACCTGTGGCTCTTTGTGTGCGGAATCCTTTGTGCGTACGTGCGGAAGCCTGGGGCCGCAATGCGCGAGCGCCGGCCAACTGAACCTGATTTTTCTGTTGCGTTTCGCGTTGCGTGTCGGTTGTTGCGTTTCCTATCGATTTTCTTTGTTACAAAATTTGTCGACGCTGGCCGGCTACCGCAGCGCGGCTTTCCCGTAAATCGCAACCTCCACCGACGATTTCATCATGTACGAATTCGATATTATATTTTTCTGATTCATAATAAATAAATATTGCGACATCCGGAATGAAATTGCACGAAAACCGGGCCCCTAAGTTCGCACACGCATCGAGAAACAGCTGTAGCATATGCGTTTAATGAGCACACACATGCAGACATCCCTTTTTTCCCTTTGAGAGTGTGTACATGCACACAATGCTCGGCTAGAGTGTGACCGCTTCGAACAAAACTTATCGCTATAAATATCGGAGGCCAACGAACGCCTCAGCTCCAGATTCGAGTTCTGCATCGCGAAAATTCGAAATTTTCATCAAAGCGGCACCGAAAAACATCAGAATGAATTCATGCGTGAAGAGGGGGGCGTTTGTTAGCCCATGATTGTGATTTGCATTTTAGCGAAATAAAAATAAACTTAATGATGATGCAATGCGTTGGAAAGTTACTAACGCACGATCGATATACCGGGCCGTGCACCTTGAGATTTTGAGGTCTTGGATACGCGTTGTGCAAAAAGAATTATGTGTTACAAATCCTAATCAAAACATCGCCGAATACTCGATCTTCATGCACAATAAAAAGTCGGAAATGAAATATTCATGCATCGTAGAGGCGATTGATTTAACAAGTTGGCGCGCTGACCGTGAAACGTGTGACGTTTACTAAAGCATAATCACCAGCCAGTTGAAGAAGAACTTCTTGGAGAGGTGCCCACCGTGCGTATTTTCTATTCGAATGTAAATGTTAGTGTTGGTCATGCTCTCTCTCGAGTGCAGCCAAAGGATGTTCATGCTCACATGGAGGTGACGCTCGTCCAAAGAGAGAAAGCTGAAAATTTTCCACTCGAATTTGGCGAGTTTGCGATCAAAACACAATATAAAAACTTTTAGATGATGAAATACGGCTACCTGTTTACGTATCTTGCTGATATTAATTAGGTAATTGTTCAAAAACTCTAGCTACTATTAACGACCTCGTAGAGCATTTTTGCGCCAGCCCGGGTGATGAAAATTTACATTATTTTGCATGTAGCAAAACTGTTTGCTGATTTAATACTGATGGGCAGATGTAATACTGAAATTGATTTCATTGCGCCTCGCCTCTAACCTTTCCAATCGAAAAACAAACAAACGTGAGCACGTGAGCAACTAATTAGAATTCACATTGTTTATCCAGCGAATTTGTTATTCGAATTAAATATTTATTATATTTTAATGTGTGCGATTAGTGATACTGATAAGATTGATAACGGCTCGCGTTTTGTCCTAGATTTATTTTTAGTTCGTCGCTGTTTTCAAGGCTGGTGCTAATCAAGATGAAAATGTGCGCTTCTTTTTGCGTAAACAATTTTCGTCCGTATCAGTTGCCTTGAGATGACATTACCTTAGACAAGACTAGATCCTCTCATGTGTGACTGATAAAAGCATTTTGTTTAATAACTGTAGGAGCGTGTGCGCTGACTCATTGATTTGCTATTGAAATAAGCAATTAACAATGCTAAGTGAAAAAAAATGTGCAAACAATCGAATGAAAACAAAAATTAAAATGCTGTTTTCAAACATTTTACCAGCGTCCGAATGCATTATGTAAACTATGTTTGCACAGGCTTTTTTCTTTACTTTTCGCAACATACCTATATAAATGTCAATAACTCACGGTTGAGGTTGTGTGTGTGTGTGGGTGTGTGTGTGAAATGTGCATTTGATGGCATAAATGCTCACACTGTTTGTAAGAATCGAATTTATTTATTTAGCTGATATACAAATGTCTTGTACGGCTGTTGGTGTTTATTTTCACAAGGTCTGATTGCGCATGCGCACTAGCGCCGAATCATGTCAATGTATCATAATCACGTAATTAATCATACCGATCATACCAGGGAAGTGCAGAAGCTTTATTACCGCGCTTATCAACCTCGCAACATTGTTGATTGCATTCGTTTACACAATGCATTCGGCTGCGCCTAGCAACTGCACTCGCGTGAATAGAACTATACAGTTTCGTGCAAAAAATCGATTGATTTCGGCCAGTCATGATTGTAAACAATTACACTTTGATTACTCGCGAGCATACATTGTGATCGGCAGTGATACTGATATTGCATCAGACGATTTATTCTCGAAATTGATCATTCACTTTCACATTTAATAATAATTTTAATGTTTGTTTTTTCTATTTGTTTAACAAATCTTGAAAATTTTATGAGGTGCAGCTGAGCGATAAAAGTTTTATGACTTGAAGAATAAACACAAGAAACGTATTCTGCAAGCTCGACGAAAAAATGATTATTTAATCAGATTATCGGATTACGCTTACGTGTTTCCGTGTGCACCTGAAAACAAGCGGCGTGGTGATGTGATTAATGAGTCAAATGCGATAAAGGCGACGAAAATCGATGACGTATCGAGTGAATGAGTAAACGATTTAATTTTTGGCTGACGTGGAATGTTTTTTTGCTCTTTAAGTTTCGGGTCCCCGGTATTCTCGGAAGACGGTTGCACATTTCAAGAATTGAAGATTTCGAGAAACGAACACAAGAAACGTTCGTGTCTTCTTTGTTGCCGTTCTTCGTCTTTCTTCCACCTCTCCTCAAGTTTCTATCTTACTTTGCGTATATTCTTCCTTGTCGTGACTCCCACAACAAGTCCCCAAGCGGATGAGACGAGGCAACGACTCTGCCATATGCGAAGAGAGAAACAATAAAGCAAAACAAAATGTGTCAACAGAACATATTTATATTGCTGGTTTTTTTTTTCGGTTGGATCTCTGGGTCGACAGCGTCGAACTCGTTTCCTTCACCTACGGTCATCACCACTGCACACCACTGCAACTCAACCAAAATGCTTACTAGATTTTATCTTGTTGGATCATCACCACCCAAAACTTAAATAGTTTATTTTTTACGCATGGACAACATCCTGCTTACTCCCCATCATCACACCAGCAACAAAGTTGAATTTTTGCGTAATCGTCGTTGAGTTGAATACGAAGGTCCGAGCTGAAGACTGTAGACGTCTTCGCTTGTCTTGTCGTTCTCTAGTAGTTTTCCTTCACTGGCAAGGAGCACGCCGGTGTACGGCCATCGAAACCGGTACTCTGACTTCTTGCTTCTCAATGTTTATCTTTCTTTACGGTTCCGCGGGTCGGAGCATCGCCTACTCGTTGTTCGGATATTTTTTGCCGGCGCGCTGACAGGGCCAAGCCGGGGCGAGGAGGTGATGCATACATAACTTCTTCTTCGTCTTACAACCTTCGTCTTCAGCTTGTGCTTTGTGTTTGTGGTACGTCGTAAAATGCGGCCATATCGATGTAAAACAATAAATTCGAAACATTGTCGAAGTTTTTCGGGTGATGATTGAGTTGAAACATTTTTGTACAGACCGCAACAATTAGCAAGGAGGACAAAGGCACGAAATATACATCAGCATTCACGATCGATGCACGAATGGAAAGTTTTGACCCTACATTTATACGAATGTGTCCAGTTCCGAATACAAATGTCGCCCGGTAAAGATTTCGTAGATTGAATACTTGAGCCTGACAATTATTCACGTCTTGTATCCAACAAAGGCAAAGGAAGAAGACCTGTTTGTCTATGTCTGTTTCTCTCTGGTCTCATTGTTCCCGTTGTTTCCAGCTCATACGGTGAGGTGTAGGTGGTTTTGGGGGAAGTGTCACGGTCGTGTGCGTGTCAACAGGAAAACGGAATTATGCAATGGGTTTCGACTTAATTTTCTCAATTTTTTCCAAGTCCCAAAATTCCTGCATT